TCCCAGACTCCTCCTCCAGCCGTGTACCTTCCTTCCTTCCTTCACCATGCTTCTGTGGAGCCCCGATAAAGGGCAGTGGAGTGCAGGGGAGTAGGTAGGCAGGGGCTGGGGGACAAAGGAGTGGGGTGTTGCTCCTGGGATGCAGGGACAAAGCTGAGCTCCTTCCCTCGTGGGACCTGGCCTTCCCAATGATCCAGACTCTAGTGAGCTCCCTGGGGAGCCCTGGAAGGCTGGGAAGGAGAGCGGCATCACAGGAGGTCCCTGGGCCTGGGGACTCCATGGACAGGGCAGGGGCAGGCAGGGGACTGGGGACAAAGGCAGGGAGGCAAAAGAGGGCTGCTTCAGCGGTGTGTGGACAGGAAGTGTGGAAGACAGGGAGGAAACGGGCGCCGTGTGACTTGGAGTGACTGGGCCTGCTAGACATTACGTCCTAACCTGGCTTGGCAGAGACGTGCCCTGTCCCCAGGGGCACAGGGTAGAGGATGGAGACAAGAAGGGAGGTCAGCAAGCAAAGGGCAGGGAGTAACCAAGAGAGGCTCCTGGCGCTTGCTGACTACTGGGCGTGGAAGAAAGGGCCCGGAAGATGCAGAACTTCAGGGCTTGGATGTCAGGTAGTCCAGTTGCCTGGGGCGTCCCAGAAAGGGACCAATCTGGGTGCCAAGTCCTTCGTGTTATTCTAATTATGCCTCACAAAGGCGCCCGAAGTGGGTATTATTTTATTTTATGGCTAAGGAAACTAAGGCCCAGAGAAATAAACATCTTATCCAAGACCACACAGGATTTGAAGCCAGGCATTTGGGCTCTGGAGTCCCAGGCAGGGTTGCCAGGGAGCAGGGTCGGCTGCTGAAGCCCTGCCCTTCTCCCAGAGGCCAGGCCTGAGCCAGAGGCTCTGCAGGGTGTCTAGTGGCCCAAGCTCGGGGTATGGGACAGTGCCAGCCTGGGGACTGGTAGAGAGGAAGCGCACAGCCAGGAGAGTGGCCTGTGCCGGGCACAGGGGCAGCTCTGAAGGCCAACAGGTGAGTTCAGGTGGGGCCCTCGGGAGACTGGGGTGCCATTCAGGGCCCTGGGCTGACTCGAGGGGCTGCCACTGCTGAGAAGCAGGTGCCAAACAGGAAGCCCGAGGACTGAGGGGGAGGGTGGGAGAGAGGCCAGAGGCTGGAGGGGACCCCAGGCATGTCAGGGAATCCCCAGCCACAGCCGGTGTCACCATCAGGCTCGGCCCCCGAGCTGGCGAGGGTTGACTGTGTCCACAAAAGATCACTGAGAGTCAGAAGAAAGACCTGCATTCAACTCGCCATCCTGCAGGTGGGTGGCTGCCTGACTTTGAGGACAAGAACATGCGTCCTTGGAACCTGTTTTTAAACAACAGAGATGCTCCTGCCTCAGCTTATGATGGTTTTGCACGTGCTCCCCCAATCCATCGTAAATTCAAAATATCATACATGACCAATGCATGTAACGCACCTCACCTCTGGGATGTTGCAGATTAGCCACACTGCATGCTGCGTGTGTGGGTGCCCCCCCAATCCAAGAGGCTTGCACCCAGGCACTGGCCCAGGAAAAGTCGAAATTCAGGTGCAGTTACTTCTGAGTTCATATTGCTTTGACACCACCATGAAATGAGAAGTTGTAAACCAAACGCTCAGGAATCGGAAATCGAGGAAAATCTATAAAGTGGATTCCAGCGCCTGCCAAGGGCCATAAACCGGGCCAGGCCCAGGCCCTTGCACGGAAGGGGAACGCGCGCCCCCTGGTGGAAAAGGAAAGGCGCTCAGGACTAGGGGAGAGCAGAGACCCCTGGTTTTCAGCCCCCAGGTCCTCTGCTGTCTTCCAAAGGCAACTTCCCCTCCTCCCCAGTCTGCACCTTGAAGGCAGGTGGCATCCAGTTAAGCCAAAAGACAGTCACTGAGCCCCACTGCATGCAAACCTCCGTGGTGTGGGGTTCGGTTTGGTGAAGCAGGTGATGTGCTTGTCCTCAATGAGGTCCTATTCGGGGCAGAGCAGTGAACCCCACATAGGACAGGTGGGATGGTCCTGTGATAGTGGCACAAGTGCAGCCCTGAGGGAAATGAGAGGAAGCCCCCCCATCAAGGGGAGAGAAGGCACAAGACCTGGGGAGAGTGTCCTTCATGGCGTCAGTGGGTCCCTATGGGACCTCTAGCCTGGCACCTTCTGGCTGGCTGGCTCAGGGTGGAGCCCAGGGTGGAGGCAGGGGTTGGATAGTGCTGTCAGGACCACTATGCTTGGGGAGCCTCTGTCCAGGTTACCCATGCCCACTGTGGAAGTCCACAGTGGCTTCCAGCTCCAGTGAGCTGGAGTCCTTGGTCCTATATGAGGACCCTAATTCTTCCCGCTCCAGCCATACAGGGTCCCCAGATGCTGCCAAGCTCCCACCGTGGCTGCACCCAGGAGGGGCTCGTTCCTCTCTCCTCTTTCTCTCTGCTTCGCCCTTCGGCCAGGGAGGAGAGGAGAGGGCTGGGGAGGAGGCCTGGGAGGAAGGAAAGAGGAAGAGAAGGGGAAGGAGGCGGGGAGAGCAGCTCAGCTCCCCACCCCCGGAGCTCTGGAAACCCCCAGCAGCTGCACCTTGAGCCAGGCCGGCCACAGAGGGGAAAGGGGGGCCCAGGGCTTGGGGATTTAGCTCAGTGGTTTCACTGCCTGCTGCAAAAGCAGAAGGACCTGAGTTCGATCCCCGGTACCAAAAAACAAAAACAAAAAACATAAAAAAAGAAAGAAAGAAAAGGGGGGCCGAGGAGGGAGAAGCCCCCCAGCCCTGCACTCGACTTCAGGCCTGCTCCCCTCTTAAAAAACTGGCAGCCCAGCTGAAAGGCACACATACCAGGCCGGCACACCAGGGGCTCTGCACTGTGAAGGGATTCTTAGCTTTACCCCAGAGCTCCGGACAGGGAAACTTAAAATAGGAGTTTCTCAGTGCTGGGAAGCAGCTCGGGTTTCAGAAGCGCCCCGGCCTGAGAGTGGGCCTGTCAGGCAGGGCAGGCTGAGCGGGTGTGCTGGGCAGAGCTGCCCTAGGACGGTGAGAAAGGACCTAGCGAGCCACTGCTCAGCATAGCTGGCAGAGACCCCACAGCAGCCTGGAGAGTGGATGTCGTCCAAGGCTTCCCAGTGACATTTTTTCCTTCCAGTACTGGGGATCAAAAGCAGGGCCTCTGCACTGAGCTACATCTCCAGCCCCTCTTTTTAAATTTTTTTAAAATTTTGAGACAGGGTCTCATTAAGTTTGTAAATTGTCTAGGCTGGGCTCAAACTTGGGATCCCCCTGTCTCAGCCTCCCAGAGCTGGATAACAGGTACATGCCACCTGCCCAGTCCAGTGACTGATTTTTGCAGTTTGGGGATCAAATCCAAGGCTTTATGTGTGCTAGCTAATCACTCTGCCACTGAGTGACACCCTAAGGCTTTTTAAAGTTTAAATTAAAAATTTTAAAATAAGGGCCAGGCATGGAGGCAGATGCCTGTAATCCCAGGACTCAGGAGGCTGAGGCAGGAGGATTGCTACAAATTCTAGGCCAGCCTGGGCTCATGAAGCCAAGCCCACTGTCCTAACTGTCCCCCAGGGGAGGGGACAAGGAACAAGCCTGGCCTGGTCTGTGCTGGGGGAAGGCTGCAAAGATGACTGACGGGGGAGAGGGGTGGCTTGCAGGAGGAGCACCCAGCCTGAGCTGGGGGAGGTGGAATGAGAGCCACCCCCACACCTTGCTCCCCCTTTTTTCTTTTAACTGGGGTGAAATTCACAGAACGTAAAATGCTTTTTAAAGCCCCATGTGGCACTCATGCCTGTCATCCCAGCACTTGGAAGCCTGAGGCAGGAGGATCACCACAAGCTCGAGCCCAGCCTGGGCTCCATAGTGAGTTCAAGGCCAGCCTGGACTACACAGTGGGCCCCTGCCTTAAAAAACTACAAAAATAAATTATTCTATAATAAGCAATTCCATGGTATTTGGCAAGCTGCCCCCTGTGGTTTTTCTGGGCTCCAGTCAATAATGACAACAGCAAGCACCGAGGAATGGAGTCCCTTTCCGCCTGCCCGGCCTGGGCTCTGGGAGCTGCCACTGGCCATTTCAATTAACAACTAAGAGGCCGAACAGGCCAGGCGGGAGAGAAGGCCCCGCCCCAGCGCCTGCCCAGCGCAGGCAGGGCAGGTGAGCGGGGAGGATCGCCCGGCCCCTGACCCCATCACCGGCAACCCCTGCCCAGACCCCTCCGTCACGTCCGGGAGGGCGGGGGTCTCGGAGGCCGCAGCCCCCCAGGAGCCCGGGGCCAGAAGGGGAGGGGCGGGCAGGCTGTGCACTTAGGGGCGCGCCCCGGAGCCCAGACCCACCGCCGGCTCCGGAGAAGCCCAGGCCCTCACCCAAGCAGAGGTGTGGGTGGGAGGGCCGAGCCCAGGGGAGCCCGGCTGCCCCCGCTAGGCGCTGCCCTCCCCGCGGCCCGGCTGCGATTTGCTGAGCTGCGGGCCCACGACACCCGGCCCACACCCTCAGCGCCTGGCGACGGAGCTTTCGTGAGAGAAAGGCGGCCCCCACCTCGCGGGCTGCAGCTCTGTTTGGGACGCCGTGGAGCGAGGCCCCCGCCCACCGCGTCCTCTCACCGCCTCGAAATGGTGGCCGCGGCGGCAGTGCCGGGCGAGGGGGATCCGCCAGGGAGAAGCCCCGTGGCTGGGGGAGGGGCCGCTGCATCTGGAGGTCCCGCCCGGGGGTCTGGGGGCGCACAGCCCCCCACCGGGGTCGCCCCCGCCTGGGCTCCGAGGGCAGGGCTGGCACCTTCCCGAGCGGGGCGGGAGACAAGGAGGGGGCTCTCTCCCTCGGGGTGCGCCCTGGACGCACCTCCCTGGGTGTCTCTGGCGGGGGAGGACGCCCGCGTGTGTGCTTGTGTGCCCCGCTCCGAGTCACCCCGGCATCCCTCCCCAGAGCTCCGGCCCCGCCCAGAGCCCCGCACCCCGAGCCCTCCGCGTGCAACCCCCCACCCGGGTCGCCGCGCCCCGCTCACCTGCTCCATGCTGCGCGCTACGCGGTCCCCGCCCTCGCCGCTCCGGCCCCGGGGGGCGTAGGGCGCCGCGGCCGCTCCATGTCCCCGGCCGGGCAGCTGCACCAGCGACCGCCTGGCAGTGCGGAGCCCTGAGCCCCGCCCCGCCCGCCGGCCCCGCCCTCCGCACCCCGGGGTGGGGGCCGCGCTCGCGCGCAGCACCCGGCCCCGGGCGAGGATCGCACACTCTGTCGCTGTCGCTGTCGCCGCAGGGTGCACGCGAGCCTCCCACTCCGGGCTCCTGCCTGTCCTGGGGAGCGGACAGTGTCGCTGCGGGGAAGACCTCTCCCCAGGGAAGCCCTGTCCTCACTCCCCGGGGCGATCGCGGTCACAAGAACCCCGCCCCTCATTTTGCAGACCCCAGAGAGGGTCTTGCCCAAGGTCACCAGCAGCTGGGTGGCAGAGCTGACCTCGTGGCCCCGGGTGTCACCTCCGAGGCACATGGGCCACACCAGACACAGTGGCCCTGCCTGTGATGGCCGGGAGGGGGTGGCAGCTGACAGCTCCTTCTGTCCAGAGTCCCTCCTACGTGCAGATGTGTCCGGAGGTCCTTGCCTGGGGTGAGGAACAAGGATGGAGATTCCTGTCACCCACCCAGTGCTTCCTGCCCAAGATGTGCCAAGCAGCAGGCCCCAGACCTGTTCATCTACAAAGGCCATTTGAGCCCCAGAATCCACCTGGGAGTGGGCCTGAGGTTCCAGAACTGCCCACTCTGGCGAAGACCCAGGAGATGGCCAAAGACACCTTCCTCAGATGCAGCCCAACAGGGTGGCCTCCTGGCTGCCCCCTGCCCTGTGTCCTGCATCCCTAATGGGGCAGGGCCAGGCCAAAAGGGGCATCACGTGAACAGGCATGTGGGAGCAGCTGTGGGAGCAGAGTCCAGGGGACAGGGCTGAGTGGCACCTGCCCCAGGCCGGCCGTGGGTGGGGTGGGGCTGGAGGGCTAAGGGACCCCCCCCCAGTGTCCAGACTGGCGTGGAGGTGGTCCCAACCCTCCTCAAGGAGCCTGGCCCCTCCTTGGGCACCAGAGATGGAGGAAGAAGGGGCAGGAAGCAGAGAGGGAGAGTGTCAAACAAAGGGGGCTTTATGGCTGGGTGTGGGGGCACCCCGGGGGCATGGAGGCGGGAATGTGTCGCCTGGCAGCCCATGGGAGGCTGGAGCTGGACTCCGGGGCTCTACCATGCCATGACCCTGCCAGTATTTATTGGCAGCTTTGCCCTGGGACCGCAGCCAGGAGCCCCTAAACCCCCCATGCACTCCCCGTCCTCCCTGCCATGCCCTCTAGGTGGCCTCATGTCCCTGACTGCCACCCTAGGGCCCTGCAGGCTGCGTGGCATGGGGAGAGCTGGCTCCGGTGGGGTCACAAGGCCACAGGGTCAATGGTGGTCTTTGTTCCTGCAGACAGAGTCCATCCTGGACTGCAGAGACAGGGGACAGCGGAGTGCCAGCCCCGTCGCCTGCAGTCCTCACAGGCCTCTCCCAGGCCCTGTTGGCGCTGGGCCCTCGCTGTGGAGTCAGATAGCTGCTCTTTCCCACTGGTTGCCCTCTGGTTCTTTCAGAGCCCAGGAAGTGGAGACAAGGAGCAGGAGGTGGTGGCTGTACCCCCCACCCCCACCCCATAGAGAGCCTCTGAAATCACTGCTGGTGGGCCAGGTCTAAGTTCTGGTGCTGGGCTTTGCAAGGTCAGGGATGTTCTGCCCTCAAACCCGCTGATCTTCCTGCAAGGACTAGACTCCTACTGGCCAAAGTCATGGCAGCTGTATTGGCAAATATCCCCACAGCCCGACAACCCCGGGAAGCTTCACAAGCAGAGTTCCTGTAGAGGCAAACAGGGGCCATGCTTCCTCTCTGTCCCAGCTGTGGGTCGCATACGTGCAGCCCCTCTTCTCTGGTAGGCTCCCAACGAGCTCCTGCTCATCGGTACCTGTATGGGTCAGAATGTGCAGCAACAGCCTTGCCCTGGGTTCAAACCCCAGTGTGGAAAACTACCAAGTGCCATCAGGGAACACAGCCAAGATTCAAGTCAGAGGCATCCACACGGTCTTGGCCAGGTGTTCCCACTCTGTCCCAGAGTCCTGTCAGCCAGCAATGGTGATTGCATCTCAGGGCAGATGACAATTAAATAAGATGTGGCAGAAGGTGTGAGTCCACTGGATGTGTATGTGATCAACAAAAGTCAAGTAACTTCCCAAGGGCTGAATTAATTCATTTTCCCCCTTGTCATACGGGAGATTGAACCTGGCCACCTCTGAACTATATCCTCAGCCCTTCTTATTTTTACTTTATTTTTATTTTGAGACTTTATTTTTTATTTTGCCTCGATAAATTGCCCAAGTTGGGCTGGAACTTGGGATCCTCCTGCCTCAGCCTCCCGAGTAGCCAGGATTACAGGTGTGTGACACTGCTCTTGGCTTATCCTATGATGATTATTATTGGCTTTAGCTCATCTGGTGACAATTTCTGACCTTGTCACCCACCTTGGGAGGCCACACCCTGATCACAACCAGGTGTTTCTTGGGGGGTGCAGGAAGCTGAAGGGCAGTCTGTGGCCTGGTTTTCATGCCCGCCTTACAGCCATCTTGCCTCCACTTGGGGAGCCCAGGGTGCCAGGGCTGGGAAGCGAGGAAGGAGGTGACATCCTCAGGAGGCAGTGGAGGAGGGAAGGGGCGGTGGCCCGGCTTCTGCACCTGCTGCTGAGAACAAAGCCAACCATGATGCAATCCTGGCCCGAGCTGGGGTTGGGGCTGCCCGCCTGTCCGAGGGAGGGAAAGGGGTGCCAGGTGGTGAGCAGTGGGCAGCAGAGTGGACACAGGAACCCATGGAGATGATCCTGGGCTCCCAGCCCAGCATGGGGCTCCGGCACCCCAGGGCGCTTGCCAGGGCAGAGGCCCCCCGTGGTCACAGCCGCCTCTGCAGCAGGCGTGTGCTTTGATGGAACAGGGACACCAGGGCAGCCTCCTCGTGGGGCTCCCAGGGGATGAGAGACCCAGACGAGCGGTCTCCCTGGCCTTCTGCAGCCCAGCCCCCTCACCTTTCCTGGAGCCCAAAGGGCAGAACCCCAGGAGGAGGTGGGAGGGAACTCGGGGGACCCGACCCGGTGCCTGCCCAGAAGTCTGTATTTACAGGACCGAGTGGACCCCAGGCCAGGCCCCAGCACCTCCCGCCAGCTGTCATCAAGCCGGTGAGTGGGTGGGGGGCATGAGAGTGGCACCCACCACCCCCGGGGATCCCAAGAACAAAGGCCTCCCTCTTGCCCACCACCTCTAAAGGGGTTGGGTGGGGGCCAAAGGATTCGCCACCCCAGGGTGATGTGGGATGGAGTGTGGGATGCTGTTTGGGTTCATTCAAGCCCAGCCTGGCCTCTGCCCCTGACCTGCGGGCTCCGCTTTGTGGCCTGGCCCACAGGAGCCACTAGGTGGCAGGAGAGCCCTGAGGACTCACCAGGCTCTGCCCCTCCACCTCCAGCCCCAGCCCTTGTGCAGCCTGTGCCTGGCTCCTGGGGGTCCTCCTTCCTACCCTGGGAAGCTGGAAAGCCTCAGCCCTCTGCAGATGCAAGGAATAGCAAACGGGAACAGAATTAGCACTTGTGGCTATTCAGTGAGTGCTCAGGATGTGCTGAGCATTTATACACCAATCCGTTCATTTGCTGGGTGTGGTAGTGCACACCTGTAATCCCAGCACTCGGGAGGCTGAGGCAGGAGAATTGTCATGAGTTCAAGACCAACCTAGGCTGCACAGAGAGTTCAAGGCCAGGGTGAACTGCACAGTGCAACCTTGTCTCAAAAAGGGTGGGGGTTTAGCTCAGTGGCACCATGCCTACCTTGAAAGTGCAAGATCCTGAGTTCAGTCCCTGGTACTGAAGAAAAAAAAAAAAGGCTGGGGATATAGCTCAGTGGTGCAGCACCTGGCAAGCACGAGCCCCTGAGTTTGATTTCCCGTACCAAAAAACCAAAAACAAATGAGCTCACTTGCTCACACGCGAGGGTGGTTAGGACAGGGTGGCGCACGTCTGTGATCCCAGCACTCTGGGAGGCCGAGAGGCAGGAAGATTGAAAGCCTGAGCTCAGCCTAGGCAACTTAGTGACTTGGTGAGATACTGTCTCAAAATTTAAAAAGAAGTAGGGACAACTGAGGATGTAGCTCAGTGGGAAGGCCCTTGGTTCAATCCCCAGTATCACAAAAATGAAAAGAAGACCCCTTCCATTTAGATCACCGACCAAAGACAGGAAGCAGCATTCCCGGGAAGGGCACAGGTGCTGTCCTCACAGAGGTCATAGAGCTCAGGCAGGCAGAGACAGGGATGAGCAGCTTCACAGAGCAAAGAGCCAGGAGTTTGGTTGTAAGTAAACTGAAAATTCCCGAGGAGGAGGCACAGGAGCTGAGGAGAGGCAGGTGGATCTCTGAGAGTTCCAGGCCAGCCTGGGCTACATAGCAAGACTCTGTGTCAACAAAACAAAACAGAAAAAGGAAAAGAAAATCCTCTGGGAATGGTCCATTAGATGGCAAAGATAGCCCAGCCAGCGCCCCCTGCGCTGGAGTGAACTCCTGAAAGCTGGCACTGTTCTGAATCCACAGGGCTTGCTCTGCGCTAGATGCTCACACTGAGGCTGGAGGATCCTGGACAGACCAGAAGCTCTTTCTTTTTTTTTTTTTTTTTTTGATACCTGGGATGGAACTCAGGACCTTGAGCTTTCAGGGCAGGCTGCAGCGCGACTCAGCTAAATCCCCAGCCCAACAGGAAGTTCATTTTCGCCTCTTCCACCAGGGGCTCAGATGTGAGATGGAGGGGATCTTCAGATCTTCCACACTGTCATTTGCCAAATGCTTGTCATTGTGCATCCTGAACCTCTGCTGCAGGGTAAGATGAAGAGCCTTTGGGATAGGGTAAAAACTGAAGCCGGAAGTCGACAGGACACAGGCCGTGCAGGTGGCTGCAGCTGGAGGGTGGACAGGGCAGGGGTGACTTTCCAGAGGAGCCTCTGCTTTCAAAAGCACGCCATCCTACAGTCCCACCAGCTGCACAAGGAGCTGAGCTGATGGGAACTGGCATCTGTGCTTCCACTCTTGCCACACCCAGGCTGGCCGATGGCACCTTAGGGGCCAGGTCCAGCTGGCAGAGACACCGTGGGACTCACTGCCTGCCCAGATGGCCCACGGTTCTAGAACTGATCCCAAGGGAAGCATCTTCGCCGCAATGCTGTACTCTTTTGTCTTGTGAGGCAAGGTCTGGCTATGTGGCCCACACCCAGCTACATCTCATTGTTTAAAGCACGTTTTCTCCCAAAAGGGAAGAGAAACTTTAGGCAGGAGTCCATGGCCTCCTAGGAGGGCTACTGGAACAGTCTCATCCAGCATGGAGCGCATGCGCCTGCGTATTGGGTAGCAGGGACCTCAAGACGCCCTCCTGAGCGTGACTATGAAAATGCACCCCGGGTCCCAAAGGCTTCCTTTCAGAGGGCACCCCTGAGAGTGTGGCAGGGCCCATGCACACGATTTCCAAGTGTTTTCACGCTCAGCTGGCACACGGGCCCTAAGCAGGGGACCTGGAGACTGCTGGGCCTAGGTGTAAACCAGAAAGCATACTATGTCCTTGACTCTCCAGACCTCAAGAGGGCAGGGGCTACAGAGGCGCTGAAGGCAGGTGACCCTCAGATGCCCTGCCCGCCAGCCCTGAGGACCCCAGGGAGACCGGTTCGGTGAGATTCGAGATCAGCCCGGGAAGGGTTTGCACCCAGGTCGCCTGGCTCTGTCTCAGGGGTCAGCGCTGGGTGGCACCTCAGGACCCCCTTCCCTGGGGGCGTGACAAGGCCGAAGATGGGAGGGGTGGGAAAGCGTAAAGCCAAACAACAGGAAATAATTTCTAAACATTTTTATTTCAAATCTTTTTTCACCCCTCCCCCAAAAGACATGGGTTGGTACAGCAACCCTAAAAAGGAGATACAAACACAAGAGTCAAATGTCTCCTGCACTGACACTTACAAAAACCGGGAATTGTACATGGGGTTTCCAAACAGGACCTGCAGCAGTTACTAACCAACATGCTTATGGATACGGTATGTACAGACAGCCCGCTCTGGGACTAATCTACAGGGATCCCCAGTTCCCTCTACCCCAGAAAAATACCGAAACACACCCAAAGTGCATTTGTCTTATATCAAAACATCTTTCCCTCTCCCTCCCGCCCTCAGACCTTCCTACCTCATTTAAGATTGGCCTGTAAGTCTATTTTAACCATTTAGTCATTTCTTATAGTTTATGAAAATAAATTATACAGCAAGTATTTTAATAAATTAAGCATAAAAGGGGAGAGAAAAAGGACAACTGAATGGGAAGACAAAAGCCAGGCCACGCTTTGGCTTGAGGGACGGGGGTGCTGAGGAGGTCGCAGCGGTTGCAGTAGTGGCTTCGCTTCTGGCGCCCGCCTGGGCCAGGCCACCGCCCCTCTTCCTCCGGGTCTTTACCAACCACAATGTACAGCAGCAGTGGTGCCTTGGCCCTTCTTGTCCCTTAAGGGAGCACCAGGGACAGATGAGTCCCCAGCCTGGCCTGCCCACTGCGCCAGAGCCAGTAGGGAGTGGGGCTACAGCTCAGTGTGAGCAGCCTCCGTGCTTACGCCACCTCCAGGGGCAACCTCGATCGCAGTCCAGCTGCAACCTCATGTTCACGCCTGCCTGCCTGCCTAGTGCCTCTTGGCTGGGGCGGGGGGGGCAGATCCAGGCCCCCCACCCCCGAGCCCTGCTGAGATAAATGGGGGAGGCAGGGCACTCAGCATGCAGGACTGGCTTCCGGGAGGTAGATGCGGTGGGGGGGGGCAGTGCAGATGGGACAGGGAGGGAGGCAGAAGAAACCAGGTGACACCTGCCAGGGAGCCCAAGAAGCAAGGAAAAGGACAAATGCGACGTGGGATCTGCAGGGAAATTAAGTTTTTCTCTGGCAGACAAATCAGTATTTTTTTTGGTACTGGGGATCGAACTCATGACCTTGCACTTGCAAGGCAGACATGGTGCCAGCGAGCAAAGTCCCCAGCCCGAGAAATCAGTATTTTAAATGCAGCCCATTCCTGTCTTGTCACTGTGGCACTGGAGCCCCCAGTGCCATCTCTGTGCCTCGGGCCCTCAGCCTCCCCTCACTTTGTGCTGGCCATGAAGGCTCCAGTGTCCAAGCAAGACTTACCATGGGGACTTGTGGACTGGACCTTGTGGCCCCATAATCCTACAGCTATCATAATGGGGACACTTCTTTTTTTTTTCTTTTTTTTTTTAATAAAAAAGGTTTTACTCCCCAGGAGCAAATAAATCATTTGAACTACTGATAAACACTGCTGCAGTGAAAACAAAGATGGCTACATGTATGCAATAGCACAACTCAGTGTGAGAACAGCTGCGTGGACAATCAGAGATCAAAACCACTTACCCATTCCCCTCCCCACAAACCCAACCCCGAGGATTCCCATAGGGAAAATGTCTAACTCAAAGCCCTCCCCTTCACACAGGGGCGCGGTGCTCTCAGCTCTGGGGACAAACTAGGCTCCCCTGGGCTCCCCGACTGGCAGCAGGACGTCTGCCGATGGGGACGACATGCAGCAGCCACGGGACCACAGCCTGGCGGGTGCCCTGTGCCCTGGCTCTGGGGCGCAGAAGGGCTAGGGAGCTCCCTCACCGAGGCACTTCTGGCTCCCGAAGCGTCCCACACCCAGCCTGGGCCACCCCTCCTCCCCACGCCACACAGGAAGGAGCAGGGGTCACAGAGGCAGCTCCTGCTCCAGGCTGGGACATTCACTTCGCCTCCACGCAGACGGAGACCAGGGTGTGGTCACCAGCGGCCCCCAACTCCTCTAAAGGCCAGACGTCATCACCCACTTACAGGCCCCACATCGAAGCTCCGCCCTCCTCCTGTGCCCGACTTGACTCGGCACGTTTCAAGTAACAGCAGGTTGTAGCAGTAGTTGTCACTAGCACACATCCTGGGGGCCACTGCAGGTCACACCCACAGCGGTCACTAGGAGGGAGGACCCTCCCCAGTGGTGACTACTGCAGCAGCCAGGACTAAAGGGGTCCCTCTGCACAGCAGCCCGCCCCCTCCCGCCCACACTCCACCCTTGCCACCCGCACAGGGCCAACTGCAGCCCTTCTGCTGAGGAAGGCTCAGACAGCTGAAGTTCAGCACTTTCTCCTGGGGGATGAAGCAGGTGCCTGGAGGCTTGGCCACACCTCTGCCCAGTCTGGTTTTGTTCCTGAGTGTGTGGATTCTCCGGGAGAAGCCCAGGCTCACAGGGGAGCGGGGGACTGAGTGAGGAGAGCAAACAGCCAGGGCCTGGGTGAGGCACCACCTGCTTCCGACCTGCCCGGTGACCGGCTTCAGTCTGGACCCCAAGATGCTGCTGTAAGGGGCTGTGCGGGAGGCGCTTCGGACTCTGCTTCATGGCTCGGGCTCCCGTTCCCTTCTCAGCCTCAGCAAGCTGCCCTGCCCACACTGCGCCTCATCGCCAGAGCTTCCAGACCATCTGGTCTGATCTCACCCACTTCTCAGCATCCTCCAGTCCTCGCTTCTCTGCCACAAGTGGTCTCCAGTGACTTCACTCATGGCAGTCGCCAGAAGGTTCCCTCGGGCCAGAGATCTTGTCTTCTGCCTGTGTTTCCCACAGTGCCTAGTCCAGAGCCACACACTCGCAGTACTTCTAAACTTATGGGTGGCGGAAATGGGGATCCCAGATGGTTGCCTGTTGGCCACTCGGGGCCCTCAAGATTCCAGACTTGCAGCTCTACAGTGGGATGCACTTTCTATAGATGGCAAGGGACCTCTCTGGGGTCACCACCTCACTCAGCTGGCAATGCTGGCCCAAGCCAAGGAGGGCCAAGTCCCACAGGCAGTGGGTTCCGGGCCGCAAAGCTCATCCATAGGCTGGTTCTTTACAGCCGGGTCACAAGGTCAGGAGCGCCGGCGAAGGGTGTGGGGCCAGGGCCAGTGCTTCCTGCTCCCGTGAGATGAGGCAGATGTGAGCTTCGGGAGCCCGGCAAGGCAGCCTCAGAGTACCACGCAGGAGACGCCTGGGCCTCGTGCCTCCCAGCAGCCCTCACACCACACTCCAATGTCACCGTGCTGGCCGTGAAGCAGCTCGCTCTTCCCCTTTCATCACCCTCACAGGGCATCTACCAGACTCTGGGCCGAAGGCAGCGGGATGGTTTGGGAACACAGGGGAAGGACGTAGCCCATGCCATCTCCCATCTGAGGAGAGGGTCAACGGGGAGAACCCCAGAGACACGAGATGGGCTGTGCTCCTTGACGGACTCGGGCACCCCATGAGGCTGGGACTCTCCAGGCTGCCCCAGGAAGGGCAGAGCTCGGCCTTGCCCCTTCCCTGCCCTCCCGCTCTCTGGCTGGCAGACACTGGAGGGGATGGTGGCTCTGAAGCCAGGCGATGGTTTGCCATGGGGAACCTGGGAGCAAGACAGGAGCCCACCGGTGGCAGCTCAGGGGAGGAGGAAGCACCGAGCCGGCAGAGGACCACTACATTCGGCATCTCAAGGGGGAAGGGGGACAGCCACAGGGTGGAGGGAGAACAGCTGGCTTCAGGCTCCAGAACCTACGGAATTAAGTAAAATGAAGTAACACAGCTTCCGAAAAAGGTGATTCTCAAATTAGGTTCCGAAGCCTCGAAGGAGAGGAACAGGGTGTCCCTTGCTCCTTCCCCCGGTGCTGACACTGGTGCCGAGAAGCAGGGAGTCTCCTGCCCTAGGAACTTCCGGTCCTGCTCTGCCCTTCCCGAGACCCATCTCAGCCTGGCCCTTCACATTTCCATCCGCCAGGCACACAGCCCGGCTGCCTCCGACATGAGTTTTCCATACTGAGAAACGTAAAGATCAAAAACAAAACTTCTGAAAAGAAACAGTGTCGAGACTTCTTCCAGTTTCCCAGGAGCCCTCTCGTCTGGCACCTCAGGCTGGGTGTGACTGGAGCTGCACACCGCACACCGCACACGCACACGGAGGGAGGGGAGGGGAGTCGAGGCTGAGACTGGCCGTGTGCATCTCCCAAGCCCCAGGCTGCAGGACCAACGTCCTCGCGGAGGGAATCTCAACCCTTCTGTTCCCTCTTCTCCTCCTCCTCCTCCTCTTCACACTAACTTCACTGGGCTCTTCAGACTGGAGCTTGACAACCAAATGCCTAGGGAGAAAGGGAAAAATTCCATCAGTTTGACAGCAGAACCAACATGCAGTGAGAGAGGAGAGCGGAAGCTGGCGGTGGAGAAGCCCACACTGAGGGCGGGGCAGCGCCCACTGAGAAGGGTGTGCCTCCCGCGGCTGGAGGCACGTCTGCGTGCCCTGATGAACACTTCTTCCCCTTTGGTTTCCTACCTTCTACCCAATTTGTGTAAGAGTGGGGAATCACCGAGGAGGGAGTGGCACACTTAGCCGCACCTGTGTGTTCTCCTCACCTACACTAGTGATTGGCTTGCACAAGGTTTGGCAAAAAAAAAAAATTGCGGGGGCGGGGGGCGGGGATTCAGCTCAGTGGTTTCGCTGCCTGGAACCCAAGTTTGATCCCCGGTACAAAAAAAAAAAAAAAATGTTTTTTTTGGCAGTACAGTGGATTGAATCCCAGGCGCTCTATCACAGAGACATATCTCAACCTCCTCACAAATGTGCCCCCACCTGGCAGCCTTTTTAATTTTTTTTTTCCAGTACCAGGGATCGAACTCAGGACCTTTCGTTTGCCTGGCAGGCGCCGGAACCATTGAGCTAAATCCCCGGCCCCAGACTTTTTAAAATTTTGAGACAGGGTCTTGCTGAGGTCCCAGGTAGGTTGCAAACTTTTTTTTTGGTACCAAGGATTGAACTCAGGACCTTGAGGTTGCCCGGCAGGCACAGTGCCACTGAGCTACATTCCTGGCCTTGGTTGCAAACTTTTGATCCTCCTGCCTCAATCTCCAGCTTGGCAAATATTAAGTCTTTCATGCCTGTCTGCTTTCTCCTCAACGGGGTCTGTGTCCACTCTCAGATCTGCAACTCCATGGCAGATGCCATGTGGGGCTGGAGGGGCGGGTATGAGGCTCAACACGGCCCCAGTCCTACCCTTGGTGGTCACTGGCAGGGACCTCGCTACGTGGAGGGTTCCACCTCCTGCTTCTGTCTGGAAATGAGCTGCGCTTCCTTTAGCGAAAGGTATACCTCTTCCTGAGGATCATAGTAGTAGAACTTTCGGATATAAGAGATCAGAGGTCTGTGAAAAACAAACAAGAGAGACACAAAATGTTATTTGCACAGAATATATGAGAAATTCTTCCTTGTTCAACCCTTTCCCCTGCATGCCCTGTGCGGCTGAGGCCACATCAAAGACTCTGCCAACCCAAGGAACCCCTGCCTCGCCTCCCCTGCACTCTGCTCCCAGCCTGCAGGAGCCTGCACACTTCCCGCTCCCTCTCAGGCGCCAGAGAAAGGACCGTTCGTTTGCACCAGGCTCTCCTGTGTGGGCAGCCCCTTCCCCCACCCTGACTCCATCGTACTTAGGCAATGGGAGATCCGGGATGTGATCTATCCGCACGAGCTGTCGGATCCGGAATCGGCAAAGGTGCTGGAGGGACTTGACATTGCTGAATCGGGACACGGGGTAGAGCAGCTGAACTGGCGTGGGAGGCAGCCCTTCAGAAGGAGACAAGGGAGACTCAGGGACACCGCTGGGCACACATCACTTGGGAAAGAACTGCAGGGTCGGATTTTGGGCCACACCCCGTCCACAGAGGGCCCCTGCTCTCCTCTTGCAGAAGGGCCACTGCATGTTTCACAGCCTCCCCGGTACCATTCTTTGTTTTTCCAGACAGAGTTCTGTTGCATAGCCCAGGTTGGCCTCAAACTCACAGTGATCCTCCTGCCTCAGCCTCCGGAGTGTGGGGTTCACAGGCGTGCGCCACCACATTGAGCTTAAGAACCCCAGCTGCGGCAGCTCAGCCAAGATGGAGCCAGAGCTCACTCAGCACACAGGGACCACTTCGAGGCTACAGGGCGAGCCACACCCACCTCCCATGGCAGAGCCCACACCCACGGGATGGCAGGTTCTCAGGAACAGGGAACATCTCGGTCTTAATAAACAAGGGCAGTGGAGGGGACACAGCACAGTATTGAGACAGAATCTGAAATGAAAAGCCTCTGAAAGAATTCCCTCCTCAGCCATTGTCAGAGCAAATGAAATTCTGTAGACAAACCTGGCTGGAAAATATCCACATTATTGGGGTTAAATTTCAAACAGTTTGAAAACTTTGTTTGAAGGCACAAAAAGGAAAAAAAGCTTGCAGATTGCTTCCCCAGGTCTTCCTATGGTTGCTGACAACTGACTTTCTCAAAAACAAACAAACACCACCATACTGTGGTGTTAGGAAGCAAGCACTGCTGACCTGCTCATCTTTGTTTTTTTTTTGTTGGTACTGGGGATCGAACTTGGGTCCTTGTGCCTGCAAGGCAGGCGGCAGAACCACTGAGCTAAATCCCTGGGCCTGACCTGCTCATCTTTAAAAGCATTTACGTCAGGACTACACTCAGGCAAACCCTTCCGCCCCACTGTGCAGCCCCACTGTGCACGGGGAGGGACAGAGAGGGCTGAGCTGGGCTCCTCCCTCCTCCAGGGGTGTGCTCAGCAGGCGCTGTCCCTTCCCTGCCCCTCCCTGGCCCGCTAAGGTTCACGGTTCACGCTGTAACACTTTAGGTTCCACACCCTCCTGGATCGGGCTTCTCCATTTAAAAAAAATTGTTATATACGATTTTCACTCTTGAATATATTTCGCTCAAGTGGTTTTCAGAAGTTATTTTGGGTTCAATGCCTCTTTGTCTAACAGTATTCATGTCTTCCTTCGGAAATTCAGTCATGACAAACAGAAAGCTCTAGGGACTGGCTGTAACACTCAGTTCAAGAGCTTCGATGGCGACGGGGCCATTTGTGCTGACTCCAGGGGTGGGGCCCGGGGGCTGTGCCTGCAGAGGTCTCACTGTGTCTGTTCTCGCTACTCTTACTCGAAGCCTCCAGGCTCACAAAGAGCAATTTGCAACCTATGAATTTTGTGATGGTCCCCGGTGTCAACCCAACCATCCCATTTCCCCCAAACCCAGCAAATGAGTGCGCAGGGAGTAGGGAGTAGGGAGTGTGGCGTGTGGCGCGTGAAAAGAAGCAGTGAGCAGTGGCAAGAAAGCAGAGACAGAGACAGACACCTGCGGCTGGAGGGCCAGGGTGGGACAGGAATGGACGGCAGCCCCTCTTCTGACCGGCAGGCGCGGACCCAGCTCCAGCCATGCAACCGCGCTTCTCTGCTCCCCACCAGGACAGGGGTGGGGTAAAGCCTCTTCCAGGTGTGGGCACCCCAACACCCAGGTCCTTCTGCTCTCTGAAGACCAGAATCACATCGGAAACTACGTCCGCATCACAGTCAGGGCCCCATGTGCTTGGAAGTGTACAGAGAATAAACTAGAGAGGCTGGAAGACCTCACTGTAATCTTTCCAGAAGAAAAAATAAACATAAGGTCAAGAGTCAAAGAAGTCTGAGCTAACAGTAAAGTACTGTTGCTTAAATCCTGCTCTGCTCCTAGCCTGAGCCAGCCTGAGAGAAACTGCAATGTCATGAACTGCTGACCACACTTCTGGGCAGCGGGAGCAAGAGGAGGGTAGAAGATTCACTTTCCCTCACAAGCCCCACATACCTTTGGCCTTTTTACTACACGGTATTTTCATAATGTAAAAAAATACAGCTGGCATGGTGGTTCACGACTGTCATCCCAGCACTCGGGAGGCTGAGGCAGGAGGACTGCCACAAGTTTAAGATAGCATTAGCCACATAGTGAGAACCTGTCTTAAAAAATAAATAAATAAAAATAAAAATAAATACATAGTGCCACTAATCGGTTTGGCAAGGTTGTAGGATATAAGATGGATATACAAAAAGCAAGTATGTTTCTATACATCAGCAATAAACAACCTAAAAATAATTAAGAAAACTCTAGTATTAAAATAATTAAGAAAACTCTGTATTTAATACAATAGCATTAAAAATAATCAAATATTGGGCCGAGGATTTAGCTCAGTGGTTCCACTGCCTGCCTCGAAAGTGCAAGGTCCCAAGTTTGATTCCCGGTACCAAAACAAAACAAAACAAAAAAATCAAATATTTAAGAATAACTTGAACAAAAGAAGTATAAAATTTTCACTATGAAAAACTACAGAACACTGTCCAAAGTGTTTAAATAAGTGAACAGATGCTAGGTGTGGTGGGGCACACCTGTGATCCAGCATTCTGACAGGCTGAGGCAGGAGGATCCAAGTTCAAATCCAGCTTGGGAAACATAGGAACTCAGGGAGACCCTGCCTCAAAATTTAAAAAGGGCTGGAGATGTAGCTCAGTGTGACAGTCCTGGGTTCAATCCCTAGTTATTTTATGGTATCCGGGATCGAACTCAGGACCTTGAGCTTGTGAGGCAGGCAGCAGAACCACTGAGCTAAATCCCTGGCCCTTGATTTTTTTTGAGACAGGGTCTTCCTGTGTAGTTCAGGTTGGGTTTGAACTCACTATGTAGTCCAGGCTGGCCTCAAACTAGCACCGATTCTCCTGCCTTAGCCTCCCGAGTGCTGGGATTATAGGCAAGCACCACCACTCCTGGCTCAATCCCTGGTTGTTTTTTTTTTAAAAAAAAAACAACAAAAAAAATCAGGGCCGGGGATTTAGCTCAGTGGTTCCACCACTTGTGTCACAAGCACAAGGTCCCGAGTTCGATCCCTGGTACCAAAAAAGCAAAAAAGCAAAAAGGAAACACATCCCATATTCATGGATCAGAAGACTTAATTTTTTTTTCTTTTTTTTTCTTTTTTTTAGTACCGGGGATGGAACTTGGGTCCTTGCACTTTCGAGGCAGGTGGCGAAACCACTGCGCTGTATCTCCGGCCCCGAAGACTTAATATTGTTAACAATGCTCCCCAAGTCAACATACAGACATAGCTTAATCCCTATCAAAGTCCCAGGTGGCTTCTTTTAATACATCGACACACCAATCCAAACATTCATGTGGACATGCAAGGGACCCCAAAGGGCCACAACAATCTTGGAAAAGAATCTATTTCCACATACACAAAAAATACAGGGGCTGGGGATTTAGCTCAGTGGTTTCGCCGCCTGCGCAAGCGCAAGGACCCAAGTTCGATCCCCAGTACCAAAAAAAAAAAAGGCTGGAGATTCAGCTCAGTGGGGAGACTGTGCGTCCAACCTCTGCCTATTACAAACTCTAGCCCTCAGTCTAATTTAACATTTCTGCAAACAAGCCAGATGCAATGGTGCATGCCTGTGATCCCAGCAGTGTGGGCGGCTGAGGCAGGAGGATTTCAAGTTGGAGCCCAGTTTGAGCAGGTTAGCAACTTAGGGAGGCCCTGCCTCAAAACAAAAAGTGTAACCGGCCAGGGTGGAGCTCACGGTGAGGACAGTGGGTGCAGGCCCACGCCGCCCATCTGCAGCTGAGTGCGCTGTACCCGAGGGGTCCGAGAGCCCTGTCTCTGCGGCACGGAGCAGCCTGGGGGTGGAGTCCTCCCCTCCCCAATCGCCTGGCTCCTGCCGTGGCTGCCGTGCTGGGGATGGGCTGAACGTGTGCCTGCATCCTTGCCCTTCCGTCTGGCCCTTCTGTAAGGCTGAGCTCGTGGGGGTCAGTGATGCGGCCAGATTTTCATTCTGCTATAAATTACATGTTTATGAAATAAACACCCCCAAAGCCACAAACTTTACAAAACTGCCAAGCAGGGCCAATTCCTAGAGCCAGCTACCTGGGACTGACTAGGCTGACAGCGCCTAGAAGACTAAACGAAGTGAGAATTAACACAGTTCACACCCTGTCACACCGTAACTGTACAAATATTCCTGTCACCTGGCTTAGCCCTGCTCTTGATGTTCTGCCAGAGGCGTCTTGGCAACTCCTACTTTTCAGAACAACTTCTCTTGGCATCCTATTTAAGAATCTAAATTTAGTGTTGCACACCTGTAGCCCTAGGACTCGGGAGGCTGAGGCAGGAGGATAGCTTCAAGTTTGAGGTCAGCCTGGGCTACACAGTGAGTTCAAGACCAGCTTGAACTATACAGTGACACCCTGTCTCAAAACAACCAAAAAAGGAAAAACAAAACAAAACAGGGTCAGGAATGTAGCTCAGCAGTATAGTGTCAGCCTGGCAAGTGCGAGTCTCTGAGTTCAATTCCCAGTACCCAAAAAAGGGATCTGAATTGGATTTAAGGGGAAAGCACAGAGTTCTCATCTCCAGTTCCATTCGCGTCCTCCTGCATGTCACTGCTTTTTACCCAGTGTCACACCAGCAGGCCCTCTACACCAGCCCTCTCCCCAGCACCAGAAATGACCCCGATAGCTTCCTGAGCAGGCAGAGACCACACGACCGGCCTGGGAAGAGCAGGGCCAAACGAAGAGAAGTGTGTGCAGCAGCGGTCGGGATGGAAGGAGACGAACCTCCACTCTGATGGCAGACCGGGCCCTTGGCAGGCGCACAAAGCCGCAGCAGAAACTCCCCAGCAGCCCTTCCTGTGGCCGCACCCTCACTGTCCCGGTGCCCTTGCCAAAGGCCCAGGCCTGCTTCACAGACAGCCTCAAGTTGCCTGCAGCAACACGGAGACACAAGGAGTGGCCCTGTTCATGCACTGCCGAGACATCAGCAGGCGGGTCTCCTCACTCGTGGGGCCATAGAAGCAGAAGCCCAGACTCCCAGTGTGTGCCCTCAGGGGTCACGCACAAAGCCAAGGCCTGGCCACAGGTTCTGCGGCAAGAGTGGCTGCTGTAACGGCCAGAAAAACCTTCAAGAAAGTGCAGCCTCTGCCCACGGGTGGGTGCCCTGACATCACAGTGGATACACTGGATCACACCCGACGTGAGCGACAACGCAACCACAGCCTTACCTGGAACCCTGGATCTCAGGAAGTAGAGGAACTTCCCGTTCTTGGAGTGCATGATGGCTCTCTTGATGAACTCCACCACGGACTGACAGCGATCCTCAAACTTGGGATGGCACCACAGGCTAAAGGTTCCTGCCATGGAAAATGAACAGGGGAAACGCTAAAACCGTCCTTCAAAATGGTATGACAATGATTCAGGCTTTGGGAAGAGCCATTTGTGGGCACACTGGGTCCTAGGTACCCAAAGCTCCCCATTCGAGTTTATCCACCATCGATGGTAAGGAGGATATTACCTCAATTTAATGAGACATAAATTAGGTCTTAAATATTTTTACCAAATAATTTAAGTCAGAGAAATAGAAAAAGGTTCTGTCAAGTATGAACATTAATCCTTAAATCATACTTTCTCTCCCTCACCTACACACACACCCCTGCTATAAAGAAGGGGAGAAAGACTACCACAGCAAAGCAGGTTTCTATGACACCCCAAGAAGACCCAAGGCTTCTACCGTCCACAGGACAGGTGAGGACTCAACAGGCACAGCAGCGCCGTGGGTCTCACTCGTGCGTCAGGCACAGAAAACCAATCCAAGTCTTTCCTTCGTTAGCTTCTAACACTCCTTGCCCAACACGTTACAAAGTTCCTACCTCAGACCTGAGACTCTCAAAGGCCAAAGGAACTGCTAACTTAAAAAATGGAAACAGTTCCACAAACTAAAGTATTGCATTCCAAAAGAACTGCCAGCAAGAAGGGTACAAAGGAGGTCTGTTCATCTCTGGGAACTGCAGACCCGAGTCTCCCTTCGACCCCGACAGGGACGTCTGAGGTACGGTCTAAAGAGATGGAGACAAACGCTCGTGCAAACTGGCCGCTAGAAGCCCACAAGGCTTCTATTACCAACTCCCCTTACTCAAGGAAGAAAAGTCTTTTGAATAAAAAGTAATTGGAGAACTATTTGAAAGGACTCTCGCTCTTGGCATCTCACCTATCAGGAACTTCAGGGCCAAAAACATTTATCTGCCATTCCCACGGCCCTGTCCCTTGCCATTTCATAGGTTTAACAAAATGCCTCACTCTGAAATGCTCTTCTGCATTTTGTGTTTTTTTGGTACTGGGGATCGAACTCTGGTCCTTGCACTTGCGCAGCAGGTGGCGAAACCACTGAGCTAAATCCCCCCGGCCTTGCATTTTGGTTTTGTCTATTCAATTTAGGGTTTTAGGAACTGCAGGAAAATAAGCAGCCCCCTCACCCTGAGACTCATTCTCAGGTCCTTGGACTCAAGTTCCTTTCTCTTCATACATCCCTAGGCTAAGTAGGGCAGAAGAAACCATGGCCAAGCAGCTACTTCCAGTCTCGAAAGAGAAACGGGCTAGTTAGTCCACAGAACAGGAGCTGAGGGTGGGGAAGACGCCACTGTGCAGGCCCGAGAGGAGCAAGGCAGAGGCTCTTCCTGAGAGGCAGAGCTGTGTGTGGTGAGACTCTGGGAAGGGAGGGCAAACCCCCGAAGGCACCCCAAACCCTCCACAATTTGTTTCTGGTTCTTTATGCAGGAGCCTGACAAAAGATCTATTTCCAGCCCTACTACCAATGACCATCAGGAGGTTCTGGCCCAAGTCAAATCAGAATGCCCCAGTGCAAAATCGATCCAGAGAGCTGCGTTTAACAAGCTGGCTTCTTTTTTTTTTTTTGGTACCGGGGCTCGAACTCGGGTCCTTGCACTTGCGCCACAAGTTGGCTTCTTGACGTGCCTGGGACCTGAAACACCACAAACGGAGCAGTGCCGCCAGGACAGCAGAAGGTCTCAAGCACTGATCCCGCAAACTTTCCACGTTCCAATGACCATTTCCTGAGACTATAAACCTGACCAAGAGAGGAAATTGTCACCACATACTGCCTGGACTAGCAAAGAGACTCAGGGTCTCTGAATGCTAAGTTTCATCACAAATAAAGCTTAGGAGAGCTGCACGGGCCGGGCACTTGGAAGCCTCTTTGATGGTTCTGTTCCCCTCACTTAGGAGACAAGATGCTGAGGAGAGCTGAATGGAGCCTTACTCTCCCTTCCCTCCTGCACTTCTTCCAGTGAGCAAGTCTGAGATTTCCCCCCGTCCTAGTTCTATTCCTCTAAATCCTTCTTAGGAAGAGGCAGAGAAGGGCAAAAGGGAGAAGCCCCTCACAGCCCAGCACTCACCTCGGTAGTGCTCCATCCTAGTGTGGTGAGTGATGCCCTGGGACCGGAAACTGAGGCTCAGGATGTACCGAGGGTCGGAGCTGTCTCGCACCAGGAAAGAACCATCCGGCTTCCCTTTCAGCTTCATCTCTGCATCCTCCCAATTCATTGGCCCCCAATACCAACCACACTGGTCAAAGTTGGGAAACAGCCAAGCAGTTAACAGAGCAGAGCAGTGTCAAGGTTTTTGGCACAGCCTGTCTTACCGGGGGGACCCCACCCCACTTCCCACAACATCTGAGCAGGTGAAAGCCACTCCTAGGGTTTCAACCATCGCCAGTGAACTTCAGGCTCACCGTGCTGTTAGTGTCCCATGGTACCAGAAGGCTAATTCTCCAATCCCATTACCGAGGCCTCCTCAGCCAACCTATGGAGACCAGCCTACCCTCACTGTGTATAACTTCCCCCCTAAATTCATTACATCTCTTATGGAATTAGCAAGTCACTGTAAATACAGAGGTCAGGAAACCACTGTCCTCTAGAAACTGTCCCAAGGGCCTGGAATGGAGCCCGTGGGGCTGACAGGGTGGGCACCACCTACCTGCTCCAGCTCTCGAAGGCTGGCCGTGAAGCTGCTCGAGTCCGGCCGGTCGAGGGGACACTGCAGGTGCTGGGGGGGCTGGCTGTGCAGGGACTCGGTGGCTCGGATGGGAGCAATCCGGGGAAATGCATCTGGAGGGCAAGACAGTGGGGGTCACACGCTGGCCCTCACTGCTCCCACCCCCAGGCCCACCCGCCCCCCAAAAAGAGATGCTAACTGAAGAGGGGCAAGGCATCAGAAGCTAAGGAGGAAAGGGTGGAAGCCAAAGCGGTGGGGGAGAGCTGGATGGGCTGGAACAAAAAGCTGTGTGGCTCGTGTAAGCTGTGAAGGATGGGCGGGGCGCTCACCCCAGGGCGGCTGCTCACTAACCTGACTAAGGTGACTACTTCGGGGCCTTCACCAGCCTAGAGCGACGCCAACTTCTCCCACCTCGAAGTGAAGAGGCAGCCTTGGAAATAGTGACTTGCCTACTTGCCCAGGAAGAGTAAGGGCTTTGCCAGGCAAGTAGAAGGAATGCCGATTTCGTTCATTTTATTTCTTGGGTACTGCAGGCTGGCAAAGCAGCCATGGGCTACTAAATGCTTGGTACTTACTGACAAGGCTGCAGTAAATACTAACACCTTAGAAAAACCAAAGCATTCTGAAACCAGCAACTCGGCAAACCTCCTCACTACCCTGGCATTAAGGCGGTTTCTTAAGTGAGGTCTAAGTCAAGGATTGGCAGTCCCGTCTCAGCAGCCAAGAGATGAAAAATTCAATGGTCTTTTATTCCTGAGGAAAATTAGATTCACCTCCATAGAGAATGGGTTAGAAAAAACAGTTCTTGGCCTCATTTCCAAGGAGTTCTGCCCCAGCCAAGGGCAAGATGTGAGCTTTCTCATGACAGATTCACCACACAGATCTCTCCCGGCCTGGACTCTCAGAAGCTGGCCTCTAAGCTAAGCTAACCTGGGGCATGGGGCGGAGGAGGCGGAGGAAGGGGGAAGGACTGCAGGGAAGACCCCATCGGAGCCACAAGGACAGATGTAGGCAGCGTCCCACTGATATCATCTAGAAGAGAGAACAAAAGCACATGGTTCAAAAGATGAGCATGGAACAAGCGAGCAAAGGCAGTGGGGACGGGACACCTGGCTGCCCTCGGGTTGGAGGCAAGGCAACCTGAACTTCCCAGTCTTCTGGCACAGAGGAGAAAAATCATCTTACTGCAAAAGGCTGCCCTTGCTTAGGAAGCAGGAGTGAGCATATTCCAGGGCAGCTCCCAGCCAAAGACCCAGGAAAGGGAAATGGAAAGCTAATTAACAAATGGAAGCTAAGTACTGTGGCATGCAGGTGAGAGCCCCCTTCAATGGCCTGGGGCAGGAAAGAACTGTCACCACTGGAAACCCAGAAGCCTGCCTGGCAGAGGGGGGAGACTGTACCTAGGAGGCTGAGGCTTCTTCTCGGAGGAGGAGGGGGAGTTGGAGGGTGTGGGGAGCTCAGGCCCCGCTGAGAAATGTCCACGTCCACAAGCGACACTGTTTCACCTGAGGGAGCACAAGCAAGCATGTCACCGAAGTCCCTTGCCCAACAGCAAAGAGAAGCAAAGGTCAAGTGACAGGGGCTAGAGGGCCATGGCTTTCCAGAGCCAGAATCCAATGTTCCTAGGCCTGGAGCCACCCTGAGCACAGTCAGTTTAAACTTTGGTCATTCACTCATCCCAGAAAGGGCCAAGGGCTCTTTGGGAGAAATACCTGGGACCATCTAATGCTGGTTCTGCCGCTGACTTAACTTGGATCAGGCCTACAACCTTGAACGAGGGATCTTTACTGAATGGAAGCCACACTGTCTTTACTGACTTGCACACCAATTTCTGCTTTAGGGAGCGAGGCAGGTGGCTTGTTATGCCAAAGGGACAGGGAAAAAGCAAGTGCCAGAAGAACGTGAATAACTGCAGGGTAAGCTGAGTGCAGGTACAGATTCCAGCATTAGCTTAGCTTGCTATCTCTAACTGAAGTTTCCAGAGTATCTATCTAAAAAGAGAACCTACCACTTAAGATGTTGATTAGCAGGGCATAGTGGCGCCTCTAATCCCAGCTCCCCAGGAGGCTGAGGCAGGAGAATCACAAGTTCAAGGCCAGCCTGGACAACTCAGTCATACCCTATCTCAAAAATAAAATAAAAAGGGCTCAGCGGTAGAGTGCTTGCTGAGCATGCACGAGGCCCTAGATTCAGACCCCAGTCCCACAAACAAATTAAAAAAGGGAAGTAATGCTGGATATTTAGCTCAGTGGTGCTGCCACCTGCCTCGCAAGTGCAAGGTCCTGAGTTTGATCTCCAATACCAAAAAAAGAAGGAAGTTAGTTCCTCGTCGTGGAGGCTTCCAAGGCTGAAAGTGTATTTACAGCCCTAAAGATTAAAAACTTCCAGCCAGCCACTGGTGAGGTAAGCTCAGAGGCAGCTCTGCAACAGGAACTCAGCATGGGCGGCACATGGTTCCTCTTCCTTGCCAGTGTGTCGCAGTTCCAGCCTCTGCCCGTCCCCACCCTGACTCTTTCTCCACTTGAGCCTCCAAAGGATGAAGAGTACTTTATTACCACCTTGATGGTCTGGAATACTTTCATTTTGGCAGGTCTGATCTATAGGTCAGGACCTAGGGTTTTTCTACCTTAGCCTTTAGGGTGTTTTTTCCAATAACTTTTTCTTATCCAGGATTGAATTAGCCCCTCAATTAATATTTTAATGCTTCCCAGTTTTAAAAAACCAAACCAAAACAAAACAAATGAGGCAACCAATATCTCTAAAAGGCCAGGAGCTAGGTTTATAGTCTGCAGGTTTTTTTGCAAAGGTCTTGAACACTAATGAAGATGGGAGTGCTGGGGGGATCTCGGTGACAGAGCACTGTGTAGCATGCTCAAGGTCCCAGGTTCAGGTCCTAGTCCTGCCAGAAAAGAAAAAAAAAGGACATGCAAAAAGTTCTAGAAGTCATGGGTAAACCACCAGAAGCAGGAAGGGGGTGGTCAGCAACTGAGAACTCTGCTTCCCAAGCAGTGGACCGGGCCCGGCCAACAGTGATGCCAACAGGTCAGAGAGGCCTCAGCTGTAGGCGTAGAACTCAAATGAAAGGCACAATTCAAAGAGGCCAAGACTGAACCTGAAACTACAAAGTGGGTGGTATTTACTTTAAGGAGAAAATAATTATTCACTAGAAAGACATGTTGCCAACAGGATAACATTCTTTAATTTCAGGTTTGGGGTAAGAACAGAGACCTTCTCCCTCCAACAGATGTCTATATAGGAATCAACTTACTTGTTCTCAGAGCTCAACAGTCTACCCTGCTGGAGTCCCACTGTCTTAACATCTTCCTGGACATCTCCATTCCCAAATCAAAATTCTTCCAATCATCTTTTAAGGGACACAAAGAGTCCCTTTTAAGGAGTTTGACAGTGGGATTTTGAGGGGTTTTTTGGGGGGAATGGGTTTGAGACAAGGTCTCGATATGTAGTTCAGGCTGACCTTGAATTCACTATGTGGCCCAGGCTGGCCTCAAGTTCTCGGTGATCCTCCTGCCTCAGCCTCCTGAGTGCTGGGATGACAGCCGTGTGCCACCACACTGGCCAGCAGTGGGATTTTTAAAAAAGGGTTCTCAGTCACAACTCAGTTTCTGAGACTTGAGGGAGTGTGGAAAAGGCTCCCTTTTCTACAGCTTATAAATCAGGAGCTTCACGTTTCACCAAGGGAAGTTCTCCATCTCTGAGAAAGTTCCCCGTAAAACAAGCAAGGCTGGGGTGTAGTTCAGCAGTAGAGCACTTGCGTAGCAAGTGCCCAGCCCTGAGTTCAATGCCCAGTACTGGTACTGAAAAAAAAAAGGCAGTTACCCATTACCCAGCAGGCATTTAACAGCCTTCCTATGTTATCAACTGTGTTCCTTGCTGCAAGAGGAAGGCTTAAATTAGATACAACAAAGAGCCCCAACAGCTGCAAGAACTGCTAGCCCCTAAAATGGGTAATCCCCTTGCCCAAAGTCTTTAAAAATAGACCAGATATATGTGGATCATTTTTATTAGCTAATCTATAAACTCCATTGGAAGCAGGGACAGGAATTACATGCTTCAAGAGCCTTTTATGCATAGAGAGCCTATAAATTTGTAATTCCTACTTTTAATTTATATGCGATGACCCTGAACTAACCACTCATAACTGCCAGGGCCGCCCAATTACCAACAAGCAGCCCTGAGCTCTGTGTCTAAAGCATCCAAAGTCAAGAATATCACTGTGGATCCTAAAAACAGCCTCATCTCAAACCCAGGGGGTGTGGGATGAAGGAAATCCACTGCAGAAGAGCCTGAAGCCCCCCCTGCAAATCTCCAGAGAATGATGGCTATGTTGTTACCACCTGGATGGGCCTGGAAAGTGTTTGCTCTGGCAGGTTGGATCTACAGGTCAGAGCCCAGGATTTCTTTACCTGAGCCCTTAGTTTGTTCTTTCCAATAGCTTTTCCTTATCCAGGGCTGAATCCCATCTGCTAATATTTTAACCCTTCTCTGGTAAGAAAATGAGATCTCTCTAAAAGGCCTGACAGGTCTCAGAACACACTCGCTTTCAGATGTCAGACAAAAGAAAAAGCTACCTTTACCTGTGAACAGGGGGCTGAAGGAGGCCGGAGAAAAGGCACTTTGAGTTCTTGTCAACCTGGGTTTCCTGGGGGTGAGAATGCACAGAGAATGAAGGGAGATATGAACACACGCATTTCAATCACCAGGACACTCAATTCCAGATGCAATGAAAACAAAGCAAACCCCAGTCATTGTCAGCAGCACTTGTAATAAAGCCTAAAATTTAAAGGAGAATGAAATAATTAAGGCAATTCCTTAAATCGGTTTGGCTACCAAATCATCAACCTATAAAACAATAAGAAATCCCTTTGGAGCGCTCCAAACCCAGCAGTTAAAAGAGACAAAAAAAAAAAAAAAAAGAGTAAGACACCTGGAGTGGTAATTATAAAGTCCATTTGAAGAGGAGGAAGTCAGATGTAAAGCTGATTTTCACTTGGGAGCCAAGAGGAAGACACAGCTTACACCAGCTGCTTTCCCTCTGGGGCTACTCCTGGAGCAGGAGGTCCAAGAGGGAGCTGGGAACGGCTGACCAGAGACCAGGGTGCGCGCCTGCACTACCGTCCTGAGGTGTGGGCTGAGGGTGAGACTGACAGGTGGGGGCTCTGCCCAGCAGCCCAGCCACACAGCTTCCACCAGCCCTACCAGAGGCCTCTCCAGGAGTCACCGGAAAACCCGGGTCTCTGGGCACACGTACGTATGTATGTACGTGCATGTGTGCGAGCGTGTGTGTGCTTCTTGCTGGGGGTGGAACCCAGGGCCACACACCTAGGTGAGCACTCTACCATCCTCACCCTGCCACATGCCCTCCCCAGATCTCCTCGTGATCACACACCAAAGGGAACTTCACTTTGTACCAATTTCAACTGGCTTGAAAGCAAGAAATGAGAGAAATCCAAAAACCTCCAATTCAGGCTTCCTGGCCAGAAAGGTGCCAGACTCCAAACACGCACCTTAGGCGGACTGAATTAACTACGGGGGAGTCTTGGTGAAGTGACGGAAAGGGGTTACATGCTGAGTGAGACAGAAGTTCTGATGACTAGAGTTTGTCAAAATTAGCAGAGCCAGTCACCTAAAAAAAGAGCAATTTTGTGGCAAATAAATTATACCTCAATAAACCACCTCAGAACTGACCAGCTGACTCCAGGCATTACAGCTCTAATTACAATATTGCAGTACCTGACTCCAAACATTTTAGCTGACTCCCCTTCTAAAATTATTCTCACCTGAAGGACTGAACAATACTAAAACCCTTTTTAACTATCAACTGTACCGACAGAGGGGTGGAAAAGCAAAGAAAATACAAAATGAAATCCTATTTACAATTATTTGACTCCAGAAGCCGTTTATGCGTTTGTTTTTTGGTATGGGGATCCAACTCGGGTCCTTGAGCTTGCGCAGCAGGCGGCAAAACCACTGAGCTAAATCCCCGGCTCTATGCGTTTGTGTTTTGACACAGATGTCTGAGCTTCTCAGAATTCAGAGAAAACTCCAAAACCACGAAGCCCTTGCCACCAAGCAGGGGCTGAAATCTGGCGGTTCCCGTCGGCATGCTCCTGGTGCAGCCTCCTCCAGGCTGGACCTTAGGGTCTAAGGGCGACACACACGCCACCCCCACCACACCTAGGGCACACTCGAGAGCAGCTGCATAAGACAGGCACAGCCACACCTGTCCCTCTGTTGCTCAAAGTCGCTTGTGATGGCTGCAGCTTGGCGCCAATAATCCCAAGGGCTAGAGGGGAAGCTAATGCCACCGGACATGAGCTTGAAGGCCGCTCAGGCGCTTCCGAGCTGACTGCTAATTTGCTAACTTGTGGGTACAACGTTAAACGAAGCAAGCAGAGGCCCGAGCACTGGCCTCTTGGAAGGCTCACACCTCAGCCGCTTGGCTGGCTGCCTCTTTTCAAAGGAAGCTGTACCACTGTGCCATCTGCCTGTGCAGGGACGCTGTCCGTGCCAAACGCACACGTCTTCAGGGGCCCTCTCACTGCAGCTTGTCTTCTCCCCAGCCCCTGGCATTTTGGAGAAGAAAACCATAGTCTCTAGGATCTAGAAAAAGACAAACATCTGAGTCCAAACCCAGGCAGAGCCATTTGAGAGCACCAAGATGATTTTTTCCTGGCAAACAAGAGTGCCTTGTGGCTGGATGCAAAGAGCAAAAGGTTTATGAGGCTGGAAGACTGATAATAAAAATGTGTGGCTTCTCCTCTTCAGGGAGATGCAGCCTAACCAACAACCTAAAGCAGTGTCTGCCTTGAGGACCTGAGAGCATCCTAACGGCAGTCATTCATAAAAGACCAATCTAGAGGACTATTTAAAAAACAAAGCAAGGGAATGATTAACATAAAATTGAGGATGGTGGTTACCCAGTGGAGGGGCAAAATGCAATCAGGAAGCAACACTCAGGTCTTCCAAGGCGCTGATAACATTCTGCGCTTTTGCTAAGCTTGGGGATGGGAACACAGGTAGCATGCGTTACTGAGGTACACAGGTCTTATGCATCCCCTTTGGTGCAGAGGAAACATCTGGAATGCTAAAATGCTCATTCCAAGCTGATGAGCTGATTTTGGAGAGCTACATGAATGACATGGCTCCAGATATACATTTTTTTTTTTTGGGTACCAGGGATTGAACTCACTGTGCTTGCAAAGCAGGCATGGTGCCTCTGAGCTAAATCCCCAGCCCCTCCAGATATACATTTTAAATTAACCCTCTAGACTACATTCCTATGTTGTTTATTCTTCCCCAGATCAACCTCACAAGCACTGGGGTGCAAAGGGAAGCCACTGTAACCCTGGCTATGATGGGCCCCCTGAATTGAGGGGCAGAGACTTCTGAGGGCTAGGGTCAGGGGTGGGTAGGATTTGGTGGCCATGTCCCCATGACAGAATAAAAGAGCAGAAGGCTCAGGCCAAGTTCTCAGAGACGTCAGTGCTGTCAGTGTGCTGTGGGTAAGACACGGCACGTTACTGTTTGTACTGTGACAGATTTATGAGGTAAAAGGAGCTAGAAGCACTGGCTAGATGGGACACCAACGCAAAGATGGAAGCACTGGCCAGTCCTCAAATTCCTTGAAACCTAGAGTATAAGCACTGAAATAGTAATGCCCTCCCACTCTTGTCCGTACATCCCCGCTAAGACGCCCTAAGACTTACACATACTCTTTCCTAGGGTTACTTCCAAACACGAGGTTTTGCTGCCCCAATGCACCTCTGCCCTTGCTAAAGCACAGTGCCAAGCCAGGCAGCCCGTGCCATTTCCAACATGTCACAGCCAGTGTCTGTTCATGTGCTGCAGGGTCGAAAACCATGTGCTCGTTTCTAGTTCCAATACACAGACATCTGTGCAGCAAGGTCAGATCCAACTCGATCAGAAAGCAGCCAAAGAGCCGATGGGGGCACTTTCAGGGGAGGCCAGCAGGCACAGGCCAGGCCTCAAGCCTGAGGAACAACGCTGGCCAGAACGTGGGGAGGGAGAGGCACAAGGCTGGAGTGGACAGAGGTTTCTAGAGCTCTCTCATTCTGAGAGAGCAGCCAAGCACAACCACTCTGTGGAAAAATAGTTAAAAAGATCAACAGAGTGTGGACCACAAACCCAAACACATTCACACTCCTCACAACACAAGGCCATTTTCTCTCAGCATGTCATGCTATGGCAGAAAGATGCCTTTCCAGAGACCCTGAAATCAGCAAAAAAGGTTTCTCTCGTCTGCCAGGTCTGCCCAGAACAGTGGGGCCCCACACAGTGCCAAGGCAGCCTGCCTCTCTATCCCAAACTGTATCTCTTTTTCCCAAACAAACAGAAAACCACCTCAGAGCTGTTCTCCATTTCTCCACCGCACAACTATGAAGACTGCCGGGAACAGCCTCAACTGTTAGGAAAAACAAACCTATTTTTAAGGGGCCAGGGATTTAGCTCAGTGGTTTCACTGCCTGCTGTGCAAGCGCAAGGACCTGAGTTCGATCCCTGGTACCAAAAAACCCCAAACAAACCTATTTTTGTTTTGTTTTTTGAGACAGGGTCTCACTATGGAGCCCAGGCTGGCCTTGAACTCATGGTGGTGATCCTGCTCTGGTCTCCCCAGTGCTGGGGTTACAGGCGGGCCCCACCTCGGGTATAAAAACAATTCCTGAAAAATGAACAAGGTACCCATTCCCAACCAAGTATGTGTTATGTGATGATTCAAGAAGGGCAGGTCAAGTGCTATTTCTCCCCCATCCAAAGGGAGACAATCAGCTCGACATACATACGTAGAGCAGACCAGGGAGCTCCACCGGTTTTCCGGAAATAGCGAAGTTCTGTACTACACAGAGGCCACGGGCATCAGGCCCAGCTCTCTGAATCGTGACATGTGTGTGGTACAAGGCCTAGCCCAGTCCCAGAACAGAAACTTGATTAGTTGGCAGGCCCATGTCTTACTTTAGTTAAAAAGTGTTCTCTAAGCTGAATCCTACCACCTGTAGACTCTTTATCTAGGCATGTCCACTCGGCAGATTAAAGCATCTGAAAGAAGTCAAGTTTTGCTCAGTGTTAAAATACGGAAACCGCTGCACCTCATAAAATGATGACAGGACATACTTTCTGGTCAGCAGCTGTGGGAAAGGTAGATGGGAAAAGGAGATGTGAAGAGCAAAGAGAAGTATGCCTAGAGGTTACTGTAAATGCCCCAAATTACACAGCAGAGGCCCTTAATGAATCCTAACCAACAATGAAGGGGAAGGCTCACACCCTTTGGCAAAACACTGGGACTTCTCACTGCTCACAGGTCCCACTCATCAAGACAAGAGCATGAGCTTCAAATCCCAACTCTCCCTTCCTCCCACCAGCGCAGACTCCCAGAGCCACACACATCACAACCACCCTGGCCAGGCCCAGTCCGTTCCTCACAGCTGCGCGGCTGCCAGTAAGACTGGCACATAGTGAGCTGTGGGGAAGCTAACAAGCAGCACCAGATCCTAAGCACGGAAAAAAACCTACCAGTCCAATTGTACTGCTTCTCTTCCCCAAAGCACAAAATATTCCACTTAGATCTCTCCTGCCTTCATTCTAATGCTACAAGGACAGGAACAAGACAGCATCACTCTCCCATTTTACAGATGTGAAGAAGGGAAGCAGGAAGAAGACCAACTGGCTTCCATCTCACAGCTGAGGCTGGAGCTCTGAATGCAATCTAGGCTTTCGCATATGCTGCTTGACAGCACTCACAGCACAGGCTCATGCAGACACACCTCGCTCTTCTTCAATTCATCAGGAAAAGCCCTTGGACCAAAACATGTAATTCTCCAGTGCCCTAAACTAAGCTCCTTTGCAGAGGTACGGCCCCATTTGCTCTGCAGCAGAAAGCTGTATTGTGCTTAGTGTGAAGCTTGGTGACAGAGCAGCCAATGACCATTAAATTCTGCTTCCAAAGGAAAAAACCGTAGAACATTATATGCTTCTTCCTCCTCCTAATCTATTAGACAGAGCATCTAATTTCACGCCACACCTCGTCTCTGGTGGCTCTGGAATCTTAGACCAAATCGCGGTCAATATAGAACAAAGGCAAGACAAACCCTAAGAAAATTAGCAATCTATCCTGTGTCATTACCCACAGCGTCAATCCTGCCCTCCACCCCCACCTAAGGAGAATCTCCTTGGGATTGCTAAATGGAGCATCGAATGCAGAGCCTACCACAATAAAAGATGTTTCAGCCGCCACACTTTTCAAGACCAGAGCTCCCAGCATGAGTTCATCCGGAAGCAAATGGAGAATCTCAACCCTGCCTGAAGGGGTGACACGCTGATTTCCTTAGGGAGTCTAGGTTTGACCCAATCCCCAAAATAAACCCACACAGGGCACAGTAGCTCAGAAAGGGCAACAAAGCCAAACCAGGCTGCCTTTTTCTCCCAGAGTCCCCCAAGTTCCCTTGAGAACAGAATCTCCATGGATGAAACTGTAGAGTTTTTTAAAAATTAAAATTCTTGTGCTCCAGACATCCTGCACTTTTCTTTTTTTTTGGTACTGGGGATCGAACTTGGGACCTTGCGCTTACGAGGCAGGCACCGGAACCACTGAGCTAAATCCCCGGCCCATCCTGCACTTTTCTAAACCCCCACCAGTGACTCTGGCACACAGCAAGTTATCAACATACACGGTCTAACTGTTCTGTAGCTTTGGTCTGTGGTTCAGTAGGTCTCAAGCATTTATCACAAAGCCACAGCAAGACCAATGCCAGTCTTCCTAAGACCTATTCAGTCGGCACCAGGGAAGTCTCATCTCCCCCCGACACAGAAGTTGACAGCTTTCCATACCAACACTGCAGACCCAACCCTGAATGTCAAATATCACAAACGCAGGGGGAAACTCAATCTGTAAGTTTGGAATTTTCATTAATTGGCCTAGAATTCATGAACCTCACTCATACTTAGGACTTGCACAAAGCTGTTTTCTGTCAATGGCTGGCACACAGGCTTGAGATACCAAGTGTGTCTAAGGAAAGCACCAGGAAAACACAAAACTGAATAGAGGTGGACTGCTGACCCCTAAGTCACAGTTCCTGGTCATTTGTGGTTCATGTGAGGGGGAGGGCTGGGGTGCATGCACACAGGATGATGAGAAGACATCACCCTGACAGTAAGCAAGGTGATGCTCACCAGGTTTTTGCCCCCAAGGCCAAATATTTCCAGCCAACTCCCTGCAGGGCGAATAATGGTGGACCAACACCTTGTGAACACTCAAAAAGAGGACCAGGGTGTGTGGGGGGTGGTGGTGGTTTCAAATCCTCTCCCAGCACGGGAGATGCTAACCAGCAGAAGTCACCCGATGTGAACTAAGAGTGAAAGCTGTTTCCACAATTAGCTCTGATCTAATGCGAGCTGTCGCCACCTTTAGCCCTGTCTCTGCCCTCCTGTTGAAGACCCAGTATTAAACATTGCCAGGATCGAGTTAGCAGTAAAGAAAAACGGGGGGGGGGGGTAGTTTGTCGCCAGTCCCTGGCCGGTCTCACCTCCCCGAGTCCACCTCCCGACCCGCAGAGCATCCCACGTCGGTGAGGCTCGCGGCTGAGGTGGCCAGCTCTCCAGAAGGCCTCTTGCCGGTCCCGTCCCCGCCGCCCGAGCCGCCGTTGCAGCTCTTCGTGCGGAAGAGGCGGCTGAGGCGGATCTTGAAGGAGCCCTTCCGAGAGGGGCCCGCGAGGGGCCGGAGAGGCCCAGCGGGCGGCGGCGGCGGCTGCTGCTCGGCTCGGCTCGGCCGCCCCGAAGGGACCAAGTCCTGCAGCGGGAAGAGCGCTGGGGGCAGATCGGGGCCCGAGGGCTGCAGCACCAGCCGGCCGCCCCCTCCTCCTCCGCGGCCCGGGCTGCTGAGCTCCTCTTCCGAGCAGCTGTTGGTTTCCAGGCTCTCAGCCTCCGACTCTAAGCCCTCCAGCACCAGCAGCGCGTCACTCGTCTCCGTGGGGTCCTCCCCGGCCTGCGGGGCGGCGGCCGGCGGCGGGGGCTGCGGAGCAGGCGGCTGCGCGGGGCAAGGGCACGGGCAGCAGCCCCCGCCAGCTGCCTTGCCCCCCGGGCCCGCCGGCTGCCCGAGCCCCAGGGCCGCCAGCTGCGCCTCCAGTCCCGCGGCCGGGCCCCAGGCCTGCTCGAGCGCCAAGCCCGGCGGCAGGGCCTTGGGGTCCAGGGCGCAGCGGTGCCGCGGACACAGCAGCTCCGTGGGTCCCGGGCCCGGCGCCGCCTCCGCGTCCTCGTCCTCCGGCGGCCGCCCCACGTTGCGGAACACCATCAGTTGCGGCGGCCGCGAGCCCCGCGGGCCGGGCCGCGCGAGGAAGGGGGGCGGCGGGGGACCATGGCCCGGGGGCGGCGGCGGCGGCAGGCCCGGCTCGGGGACCGCCTCTCCATAGCCCAGGAGGCGGCTCAGCACTCGGTACGAAGCGGCCGCCGCCGCGGCCGCCTCGCCATCCCGGAGCTCGGCCCCCTGCATCGGGGAGCGGGAGGGAGGGAGGCCGGGCGGGCGGCTGTGGCAGCCCGGCTGGGGAGGGGACTAGGCCAGGCCCGCCGGAGCCCCGCCCGCCGCGGCCCCCGGAGCGACAGCGCCAACGGCCGCCACAGCCTCTGCTTCATAGAGGGGGGCGGGGGGCGCACGGAGCCCAGCACGACCCCAGGCCGAGCGCCGCCGCGGACCGCCCCGGGTCGACGCCACTTCCGGGAGGGCTGCTCACGCCCCTTCCCAGGGCGTGCTCGCGCCGGCCTCCCCTGCGCGTGACATAGCTCGGGCCGGGGGCCGCTATTGGCTGGGACCTGGAGCGTCGGTCTCCTGCCCTAACGACCCCTGGTTTTTACTTCCTGGGCCCAAGTGACAGGGCTGTCCGGGAGGTGGAGTAGGGCGGGTCCCGGGAACCCGAGCTAGTCCTGAGAGACAGCCTCAGGCCTTGGGAATATCTGTAGTTCTTGTCCCGCCCATGCTGCTTGCAAAGTGTGACCTTGGCCAAGTCATTTCATGAATCTGCATCCTCTCCTGGCGTCCACTGAGCCATGGAATGACTGCTTGAACAGTGTTTTAGATCTTGTGGTGTACGGATAAGTGTTTAACAACCCACACTGTCTGGGCTAGGAAAGGTGATGTATGCGTATATGTACAAAAGTTTCATGAATTTTGCTGATTCAAAGGATGTGTGGCGCACAGTTTACAAATAATAATGAAAATATACAATGGCAAATTCCATATAACTGATTCTCAAAGAATTTCACTGATGCTTGCTAAATTCCGTGTGTGTGTGTGTGTGTGTGTGTGTGTGTGTGTGTGTGTGTGTTGCTAGGAATGGAATCCAGGGCCTCCCACCTGCTAGGCTTGAGCTCAACCTCTGGGCTACATCCCCAGCCCTTGTCAGCCGCTTACATGGATACCCAAAGGTCACAGTGACCAAGGAACCAGGATCCGCATTGATATTTTCTTTTGTTAACGCAAGAGGACAGTGAAAAGACAAAGACAAATCTGGATTGTCAACAATGGGAGACAACCTCTCGACTGAATTAGAGAACGGTTTTTAAGGGCTGGGGATTTAGCTCAGTGGTTCTGGTGCCTGCCTTGCAAATGCAAGGTCCTGAGTTCAATTCCCAGTAACAACAAAAAAAAAGTCAACAGTTTTCAAATATTGGAAGAATATGTCCTTACTTTTGTGCTATTCACACAGCTACAGACATAACACTTAAAGTTTAAATCTGCATTAGCATATTCTCCTTCATTTTCTGAAATCTAGGTAATCCACAAAACAATAAATCAAGCCCTGATTTGTAGCGCTTGCCTAGCAGCTGATTTCAATCTGTCCACCTGCTCTTACTAGACACAGAGTTAGAAAGAGATGAGCTGAAATCCATTCATGATGTGTTAATTTAAGCATGCAAGTTTGCCAGGTGTGGTGGGACCTGCCTGTAACCCCATCACTCAGTAGGCTAAGACAGGAGAATAAGCCCGAGTTGGAGGTCAGCCTGGGCTAAGTAGCAAGACCCTGTCTCAGAACACACACACACACACACACAAAATGATAATCATGCATATACAATGGACATAAGTAATCCCAAGACCATAGGGAAAACTATTAGGAAATGATGAGTTTTGGGGTTTTTTGAGGCAGGGTCTCCCTTTGTAGTTCAGGGTGGCCCTGAACTCAGTATGTAGCACAGGCTGGCCTTGAACTCCCAGGGATCGTCCTGCCTCAGCCTCCCGAGTACTGGTATTACAGGCATGCGCCATCACACCAGGCTAGGAAATGATGAGTTTTGAGAATTTATTACCTTGATTTTTAATATAATTTATTAGTTTGTAGTATTCTTTTCTTTTTTGAGATAGGGTCTCACTGTGTAGTTCAGGCTGGACTTGAATTCACTATGGAGTCCAGGCTGGCCTTGAACTCACAGTAATCCTCCTGCCTCAGCTTCCCAAGTGCTAGGATTACAGGTGTGTACTACCACACCAGCCATTTATTTTTTGGAGCACTGGAAATCAAACCTGGGCCTTGTATATGCTAGACAAGCATTCTATTTTAGTATATGTGCTGCTGAAGCGAGCACTAGACAAGCATTCTATCATTGAGATGTATCCCCAGCCCTGTAAGTTTACATAATTTAATTTAAAAAATTTTTTTTAAATTTTTTTGGTACCAAGGATCGAACTCGGGACCTTGTGCTTGTGAGGCAGGCAGTGGAACCACTGAGCTAAATCCCCGTCCCATAATTTAATTTTTAATAGTGGGTAAGATTAAAAACTTGCTTATAAAATTTGGGCAGTCTTTTTTTTTTTTTGGTACCAGGGATCAAACTCAGATCCTTGCACTTGTGTAGAAGGCAGTGACACCACTGAGCTAAATCCCCGGCCCTAAACTGGGCCAGTTTTAACAACTGACTTTCACAAGCTGGAATGAGCTCACTCCCTAGAACCATTAGAGCTCAGTAAGGGTTTCAGCTTTGCTTATATGATAGGGGTGATGTGCGGTGGGAATAAGGTGATGCTTGTTTGGTGTTGAAGAGGAAAAACAGGAGACCAGCTAGGAAGCCATTGCAGTCTTCCCCGAGGGGGATGATGAAATTCTGTGGGATGAGGAGGATGGAGCAGCCCGCAGAATTCAGCAGCATCTGTACCCAAAGGTACATGGAAGGCAAGAAAGTCCAGGGGTTGCTAAGTCCCAGAGGGGCCTTTTCAAAATGCAAATTTGTTCATCGCCTGCACTTGTAGTTTTTCTCAGTGCTCTTAGGCTGAAGACAAAAGTCCTTAAGGAGGCCTGTCGGGCCCTGCGTGATTTGGCTGCTCCCTCCCTCTCCGGGCCTTGTCTGTCCCCCAGCCCCAAGAGCACCTTAGCAGCTTTCCCCATGGCGGCATTGCATAAGCAATTCCCTGTCCCCTCCCGGCGTTTATTAAACTCCTGCCCACTGTTCAGATTGAGCTTGCCCCTCACCCAGGAAGATCTACCTGCCTGAGCCTTTCCTTCTCTCTGAGCTCAGGTGATTTGACTAAAATCTGTCTTCTCTCCTAAACCTACCCTCTAGGAGGGCTGGCCATGTTTGCTTTCTGCCCCCGGGATTCTGCAGCAGCAAGGACTCCAAGTGGTAGAGTGGGCCCTTAGTACATCCACATGGGATGGTGACACAGAGCCTCTCTAACTCAGCACAAAGAATTGCTAGGAAGAGACAGACTGAAGCAGACAGATGGGTCACCAAGCTGTGGCCACTCGGCTCAAAAAGGTGCAGTGCCTGCAAAGCAACTGGGTGTGACTTCTAGCCTCTTAGTCCGTTTCCTCCCTCCCCGCAGCGCCTTCTCAGAGGTCCCTTGGGTTTCTAGAAAAAAAAGAGAAGAAACTGCCCCAGAATCGCAAAGCACCTGAGGCCTCAGAAGACCGACACAGGGCTGTCTGGGAAACTGTGGCCCCAGGAATTCCTCGGGGAAGGCGAGGCCTGTGGCTCTGCAGCGCCCCCTGCTGTCCAATCGTTGTCTTGGCCCCACAAGGGCTGCCAGCGTCAGCCACTGGGTAGCGAGTTCCACCTGAGGTACAGGAGAAGGCACGTGTGCCCTTTGCGAGGCAGAGCAGGGTAGGCTGCCTTTTCCTAGGTCCTTAGTTATCCGGGCCTGTAGCCTAGATTTTGCAAAAACATTTAAAATTAAGCTCCAGACAAAGGATGTGTATCTTTGTGTTTGCATGACTTGGATTTCTGTGGTCAGTAAGCTCACATTTTTGTTGTTTTGGGCGTTTGTTTGTTTGAGACGGAGTCTCACTGTGTAGCCCAGGGTGACCTCAATACACGTGTGTTCTCTCTCTCTCCTTCTCTCTGCCCCCCCCCAAGAATTAGGGATGTAAAAAAAAAAAAGAATTAGGGATGTGCTATACAGGTTGTGCCACTAACTGTCTTGAGGGCTTTGGGAATATCACTTTGCTTTCAGGGTTTTCATTTCCTCGTCTGTAAAAGAAAAATCCAAAGTCCCGGAGATTTAGCTCAGTGGTGCCTCCACCTACCTTGCAAGTGCAAGGTCCTGAGTTCGATCTCCGGGACCGAAAAAAAAAAAATCCAAGGTATGGGCCAGAATGCATAGTCCTTACATCCAGGAGATTCTGCTTGGGGTTTCCCCTCTCCTCCCCTCTCCCACGCCCCTAACTGAAGTTCGAGGGCAGAACCACTTGGAGTCACCTGTAAATGCAGGAAAGATTTTAGCCCTGCCACTTATCACTTCCTGTATCCACTCAGTGACCTGGGTCATCAAAGTGGGGGGAAGGGCTTAAAATAAAAGAAGCCAAGAGAGGGCTTGTGCAGCCGGCCATGGTAGCCCACACCGGTAATCCCAGCTCCTGGGGAGGCTGAAGCAGGAGGATCACAAGTTCGAGCCATCTGGGCAGCTTAATGTATCTCTGTATCAAAATAAAAAATAAAACATAAAAAGGGCTGGGAGCCAGTCATGGCGCCACACACCAATCCCAGCACTCAGGAGGCTGAAGCAGGAGGATCGCTGAGAGTTCAAGGGCAGCCTGGGCTACATAGTGAGACCCTGTCTCAAAAACCAAACAAAAAAGGGCCGGGGGTGTAGCTCATTGGTAGATCACCTCTGGCTTCAGAGAGAGAGAGAGAGAGAGACAGAGAGACTTGAGTCAGATTGATTGCCGGGCCATGGAAGCCTCTGAAGCAAGGTGAAGGAAGAGGCAGCCTCAAGGGGAAAGGCAGGAGCTCCCAAGAACCCACACCCTTCCAGGTCCAGTGCTGGGTTCCCAGGTCACTTTGTCCAGCAGAGGGATGGACTCGAGGCAGAGGTAACCTGGGAGATCAGGAGGGACTGGCCAGTTCTCGTGAAGGAAGGAAGGAGAAGCCAGGGTTTAGGGTGATAAAGTGTAGGTGGGGAGCAGAAGGAAAACTTTGCTCACCCCTCTTCCCCATGGCTGTGGTGCCTGTTCAATGGGGGGCAGGAGGAGAACCTGGGTCCCCAGGGGTGACCTGGATGAAGCTGAACAACAGTGTGGACGGAGGGAAGTAAGTCCCTTCATGGTTCTGGGTCCTGATTTACTCCTCTGTAGAGGGACATCATCATCATCATCATTATTATTATTATCATTGGCTGCAGCAGCAGCATCTTTTTTTTTTTTTTTTTTTTGGTACTGGGAATCAAACTTGGGACCTTGCGCTTGGGAGGAAGGCAGCGGAACCACTGAGCTAAATCCCCAGCCCTACATCATCATAATCTTGAGACAGGGTCTCGCTATGTAGTCTAGGCTGACCTTGAAATTAAGGTGATCCTCCTGCCTCAGCCTCTCCAGTGCTAGGATTACAGGCCTGTGGTACCACGCCCAGCAGGGGGGGCAGGAGATTACTATAGTTCCCTGAGGATGATGATGGTGTAATTGGGCAGAGTAGGGGAGTCAGAGCTCTCAGTTTCAGTTTCAAAGTGAGTAGCTGCATAATCTTGGGGTGTGAGGTCTCTGAGCCTCAGTATCTGCACCTGTGAAATGGGAATAATAGCATGCACCGTCCATGGGTGTGGACAGGATTCTTGGGGATGATGGGCCGGAAAAACACTTTGTAAACTGCCACCATCCTGAGTCCGGTGACTCGGTCTAGGCTGAGTCTAGGCTCTCTTTTCCACTCTCACCATCCCGACCTCAAATCCCAGATAAGCAGCTTGGCATCGGGGCACAGCCCTGCCCTGATTGCTGTGCCCTTTGCAGTGGCCAGCAGGAGGCAAGTGGAGCAGAGGAGTGGAGACAGCTGCGTTGCTATGGCGCCCATCCTGGATTTGCCTATCTCTCCTCGTGGAGCCAAGGGCAGGGGAAGAGGAGGAGGGCGATGGGACTGGTCCCTCCCCAGCTGCCTCCTCCCCTGACAGATGTGGGGTGAGGTGGGGAGGGTGCTGTGCCTGTGCCAGGATTGGGGCCACGAGGAGAGAGGAGGCAGGGCCCACATACCTGCGTCCAGAAGCCGCTGATGATGTTACGGACAGTGAGAGATTGGCAGGAAGGAGAGGCTCGAGCAGCAGGCCCCAGACCGCAGCCAGCATCTGCCCGGGCTCCCCTGAGTCACCAAATCCCCTGGCAGCCCAGAGCCCAGGGCCCCACAGCTGTGCCTGGGATGGGTACTGGGGCCACCGTCCAGCCCTCCGGCCCATGGGTGCTGCTGGGCTGCTGTCTCCTCTGTGCCTGGGCTCTGGGGGATCTGAGGCCTCTCCGCTCTCTGCCCCTACTCCCCTCCCAGACTGAGCCCGGATCAGTGCCCGAGAGGATCCCCCCGCAGGGGGCTGAGGGGGCCCTGGCTTTTCTCTACTCTGGAGATCCCCAACAGCTGCTGAGGGCTAACTGCAGTAAGCATTACGAGGTTCCTGGGGCGGAAGCCAGGCCGGGACTCCCCCCAGTCCTACAGAGGGCAGCGGGCACCCTGGCCCAGGCTGCCAATTTTCTCAACATGCTGCTGCAAGCCAATGATATCCGAGAGGCCAGCGTGGAGGAGGATGTGGAGTGGTACCAGGCCCTGGTCCGCAGTGTGGCCGAGGGGGACCCCAGGGCCTACCGGGCTCTGCTGACCTTCCACCCTCCACCAGGCGCCAGCCACCTACAGCTGGCCCTGCAGGCCACCCGGATGGGAGTGGAGACGCTCCTGCAGGAGCTAGCAGGGAGCAGGGTGTGGGGGGAGAGCCCAGCCAAGGACCTGGACAGCCCTGCCCTGCACAAGCGGGTGCTGACCAACGACCTGCAGAGCCTCAACAGCCCCAAATGGCCCCAGGGGGATGGATATGTGGGGGACATGCAGCAGGTGAGGCTGTCCCATCCCTTCCTGGATTGCCAGGAGGGCCGGCTCCGTCCCGGCTGGCTGGTCACACTCTCTGCCACCTTCTACGGACTCAAGCCCGACCTCAGCCCGGAGGTCAGGTAAGTCAGGGCCTCACAGACTTGCGGGGGTTGGGGGTTGGTGGCACGCATTGGCCCAGCTGTGCCTGGGCTATTTGGCAGAGCATGTGCACATCAGGGGACACTTGAGGGTATTTGCATGCAGTGGTGTCTGCAGCTGGCTCTGGGAATCTGCCCATTCATGCACATAGGTGTGAGTGAATTCATCCAGTGACCACACTGACATGGGTGTGTGCTCTCTTTGAGTGTGTGAGCACACAAATGAGTGTCCCGAGGACGCGTGTAGGCAGGTAGGTACCTGTGTTGGCACACTTGCAGATGTCTGCAAAAGTGAGGGCACAGACAACACAGGTCTTGGCCCTCAGGTCTAAACCGTGAGTGTGACAGGCAGGAGAGGGCTTGGCTTGCATGACAGGGCCAATCTGTGCACCAGGGTTTGTGGGGAAGCCAGTGGGGGCACTCCCCGAGGTAAAGCTGTTTCTGGGGGCTTGGAATTAATGCCCTTCCTGTCCAGGAGTAGGCCGGGTCAGTCCTAGTATCACTCCTTTTGGTATTTTTTTTTTTTTTTTTGGTACCGGGGATTGAATTTGGGTCCTTGCACTTGCACAGCAGGCGGCGAAACCACTGAGCTAAATCCCTGGCCTTGGTACTGTTTTTTTTGAGACACTCACTATGTAGCCCAGGCTGGCCTTGAACTCACAGTGATCCTTCTGCCTCAGCCTCCCAAGTGTTGGGCTAACAGGTGTACACCACCACGTCCTGATTCCTATGACCATTCCTAATGCCCGTTGTCTTACATCGGGGGGCCCTACTGTGTGCATGTCCTTACCTGGGGGCTTGTGATGGTCCTCCAATAACCACATTCGCTCCGCCAGAGCAGAGGCTGGGAGCCTGAGGGTCGAGGCAGCACCCGTACAGTCGTACAAGGGTTCAGCGACCAGTGTAGCCTCTCCAGCTCTGGGCCCCAAGCATTGTTCCCAGCAGGGTTTCCTCGGGCAGCCAGGCAGTCTGGCTCCTTGCCAGATCTCTCCCTTCTCAGCTTGGGGAGCTGCTGCGGGGCCAGCAGCTCCAGTTCTGGGGTTCCGTTCCTTCTCTCCTGGGCTGTGATCTGTTCAGACCTGGCTTGGGCGGGGTGAGGGGCGGTGAGTGTGAGCTATGTGTGCATGTGTGTGCACACACACAGTGGGAAGTGTGAAAATCCCCCCAGACAGGTCATCAGGTCTTGCCCCGTCTCCTCAGAAGTCAGAAAATAATGGGATGTTGGAAAGCGAGGGATGGGGGAAGGACCAAGTGGGAGGCGGACAGTTGCCATAGCGGTGGGGCTAACAGCCTTGGAAAAGTCTGGTGCCCAAGGACACTTCTGCAGCCCTTGCTGTGGCCCCAGCTGCCACTCCCCTACCCTAGGGGACAGGTGCAGATGGACGTGGACCTCCAGAGAGTGGATATCAATCAGTGTGCCGACGGCCCGGGCTGGTTCTCTAACACACACCTGTGTGACCTCAACAGCACCCAGGTGAGGACGAGGTGGGTGGGCCCGTGGTCCTGCCTCCCTTTTCCCATCACCAACACCACCTGCCAAATCTCAGGGCTTCAGGGGAATCCCTAGAGATTGTCAGAGGTGATTGCCAGGCTTTTTAAAAGTGCAGCCTCTCACAGCCTACACTGTACCTGCGGGCAGTCAGGGCCTCAGGGTCCCTTCCCAGGGCCACTTTTTTTTCTTTTTTTTTGAGACAGAGTCTCATTGTGCAGTTCAGGCTGGCCTTGAACTCACTATGTTCATTAGGCTGCTCTCTAACTCACAGGGATCCTTCTGCCTCAGCCTCCTGAGTGCTGGGACTACAGGTGTGTGCCATCATGTCCAGTAGTTCATTTTTTAACCCAGCCACACATTTGTCATCTTTGGGTACACTTTTGTTTGATTGTGCAGATGCAGCTAGATCAGAGTGCTTTGCAGTGGCCCAGGGTATAGGAAGCTGGGCCTTGATGTCAGAAGCGCTACGCTAAGCCCTCTGGTGGAAGGAAGTCAGGGGCTGCATAGAGAATCGGCCACTGTTAAGCCCTTCCCTTGCCCACTGGGGTCCCAGTCACTCCCCACGCTGTGCACTCATTCCCCCTGGCTGCCTCAGGGGCCCGCTCTGCCCATGCTGGGCAAATATCAGTGGGTGGAAGTGGAATAAAGGGTTGGCTTGACATCCCACCAGCCTGGCATTGGCCTGGCATTGGGGCTGCAGAAAGCACTCCTGTGCCAAAGCCAGATGGCTTCTGATGGATGAAGCCGGTCCCCCTTGGGGGCCTTTCAACACACCTGGGACCAGCGGGCATCCTCTGAAGCAGGACGTCAGTCGGCACAGGAACAGATATCCCTGCTTCTGCCTGCCCTGTGCCTGGGCCTGGCGATAGCCGGGCGCTGGGAAATGAGACTTGTGCATTGCTGTCACTGCCGTCTGAACAAGAGCCTGGTCTGTCCCAGGCACTTCGCTTGGAGTCTCCTTGGGAAGGGACAGCAGTGTGGAGGGGGGGTCCCCGAGAGGGAGGACTCCCCAAAGACTAGGCAGGGCTTCTGGTGGGGCCCCCCAGTTTAATCCCAGAAGGCATGGGTAAGGGGCAGATGGACCCCATGACTCTCCCCAAGAAAGGTGCCACGTAAATTCACATCGTCTCGCCCACACAGTGTGTCCCCCTGGAGGGTCGGGGTTTTGTCCTTGACCAGTACCTCTGTCGCTGTCGACCTGGATTCTTCGGGGCAAGTGGCTCTGGGGGTACGTAAGCATGGTGAGGGCCAGGCAGGCTTGGGGAGAAGGAAACTCCAGGGACGAAGGCAGTGTAGGGACAGGCCGGGGATTTAGCTCAGTGGTTCCGCCGACTGCCTCGAAAGCACAAGGTCCTGAGTTTGAGCCCTGGTACCAAAAAGAAAAAAAAGAAGGCAGTGTAGGGGAGATCTGGGTGGAAACTCCACCCAGAAGGTTTAGAAAAGCAAGGCACGTGGTAGGGCTGTCTAGGGTGGCTGCCTTCCGGGAATGAGCCCCACCTAGCATCTCTTCCTGTTCCCCTGCCTTCCCTGGGGGTTCCCACTCCTTCACACCCCAGGGGCCGGGTGGCCATCAGGGCAGAAGGGTGGGATCTCGGGAGCCCCACCCACACCCCTCTCTGCACCCACCTTATTCTTTTTTTTGGGTACCAGGGATCGAACTTGGGACCTTGTGCTTGCAAGGCAGCCACCAGAACCACTGAGTTAAATCCCCAGCCCAACACACCTTGTTCTTTATAGGACTAGAGGAGGATGCTTCGCAGACCCCTGGGCAATTCGGCTCCCCGCAAGGCAACACAGGGTGGCTGCTTCGGTGCCAGCCATGTCCTGAGGGCTGCCCCAGCTGCATGGATGCCACGCCGTGCCTGGTGCAGGAGGCCCTGGCGCTTCGGGCTGTGGTGCTGGCCTGCCAGGCCTGCTGCATGCTGGCAGTCTTCCTGAGCATGCTGGTCTCCTACCAATGCCGATGGAACAAGGCAAGCCGGGCCCCACCTCATTCCTTACATGGTATCAGGCAGGTGTCTGCATCCAGCAAAGTCCAGTTAGTCGTGCACACTGACCTCAAACTTCCAGTCCTCCTGCCTCAGCCTCCCAGAGTGCTGGGCTCACAGCATGCACCACTGAGCCTGGCTAACTGGATGTTTACTGGGCAAGGTCAGGGTGTCCTATTCTGAACAGGGGACATCGGACCCAGAGCTTGGACGAAGGCAGAAGGTCCTGGCCAGCTCTGGCAGCCTCTGCTTGCAGCCTAGGGTGGCACATGGGGCAGTGTGGCACTGTGCAAACCTTGGCCTTGGGCAGGCTTAGTGCCAGCGCAGCTAGGAGCCGGGGTAGGCAGAAGGGGGAAGCTGCTGTTCCAGCCTAGCCCAGGGCTGGAGTGAGCCTTTGGCACCCTGGCCTGGTGCTGTCCCCTCCGTGGCTGCTCACCACCTTTTCTCCCTGGGCCACAGAGGATCCGGGCATCTGGAGTGGTCCTGCTGGAAGCCATCCTCTTCGGGTCCCTGCTTCTCTACTTCCCTGTGAGTCTGTGGCCAGCAGCTGGGCCTACCACCCAGAGCCCCCCAGAGCCACACCCTGGCACCCTGCAAAGCCGAGCCCTTTCTCCTCCCCACCCTCGAGCACCTACCTGCTCCTCTCCTTGCCCAGCAATGGCAGCTTGGTGCAGCATGCTCCGGAGTGCTGGGACCTGCCGTGTGATGTGGGACCAGGGCCTCCCCTCTGTCCCACTGAACCGCTCCTCTGCAGAGGGGACAGGAGGCCACCGCCCTGTCTCGGGGCTGCTGGGGGTCTTGCCACCAGGACTGGGCGGGCGGGCCCACCCCAGCAGCTCTTTCCCGCCCCTCCCAGGTCTTCATCCTGTACTTCAAACCCAGCGTCTTCCGCTGTATCACTCTCCGCTGGGTCCGGCTGCTGGGTTTTGCCATCGTCTACGGGACCATAATACTCAAGCTTTATAGGTAGGCCCAGGCACACCTTGCTCTGGCACCCCAAGCTCCTCCAGGAGACAGAATCCTCCACCCCTGCCCCTCACTGGCCCATCGCTGATCCTTCCCTGCCATGCACCCCTGGGGTCAGGGAGCTGTGGCAGGGACAGGACAGGTAAACACGTGGCTCTGGCCCCTCCTGGGCCCTGTCCCTGTGCTCCTGGCCACTGCAGAGTGCTCCAGCTGTTTTTGTCCCGCGCGGCCCAGCGCAGCGCACCCCTGGGCAGCGGGCGGCTGCTGCGGCACCTGGGGCTGCTCCTGCTCGTCGTGCTGGGCTTCTTGGCAGTGTGGACGGCAGGCGTCCTGGAACGGGGCCAGTTTGCACCTCTGGTGACCCAAGGCCACACGGCCGCAGGCCGCCACTTCCACCTCTGTCACCACGACCGCTCGGACTACATCATGGTTGGGGGTGAGCGGCCTGGCCCTCTGGGGTCCCTGTGGTCTGGCTGTCCTGCCCTGCACCCAGAGCCCTCTCGGGGCACAGGGAAGCAGGATGCTGAGGTGCCCCCGTCCCCCCAGTGGAGGTGCTGCTGCTGTGCTGGGGTAGCTTCCTGAGCTGTGCCACCCGTGAGGTGCCTTCAGCCTTCCATGAGCTGCGCTACATGGGCCTCGCCCTGCACAACGAGCTACTGCTCTCTGCTGCCTTCCACATGGCCAGGTGAGCCAGGCCACCTCCCCAGGCTCTTCCCAGCCTGGCACCTTCTCTCCTCCTGCCCCCCATCCGCACCCCATGTCCCCAATAAGCGACAAGACCCGGAAGCAAGCCCCACTCCTAAATCCCCCTCCTTTTCCTTTAAAAAGAATTTTATTTTTACCCAAGTGTGGAGGCACACAGCTGTAATCCCAGCACTCAGGAGGCTGAGGCAGGAGGGTTGAGGCCAGCCTGGGCAACACAGCAAGACCCTGTCTCAAAACAATTTTTTTTGAAAACCATTTTTATTAACACACGTCTGCAGTACATAATGTTTACATTCCTTGTAGGGAGTGGCACACGCACATAACACACTTTAATTCTTTTTACCTTCCCTTTTCTTCCTCCTCCTCCCCCTCCTTCCATCTCTTGGCCCCTTTGCCTCTTGCAAAAGATCCAGCTCCCTCGGGCCGGGGATGTAGCTCAGCGGTGCTGCCGCCTGCCTCGCAAGCACAAGGTCCGAGTTCGATCCCCAGTACCAAAAAAAAAGATCTGGAGCCCTATTTTTTTTCCGGTACTGGGAATCAAACTCAGGACCTTGTGCTTGCAAGGCAGGCACAGTGCCACTGAGTACATCCCCAGTCCTGGCTCCCTATTTCTTATTGTCCATCTTTTACTTGGTTTTTCATTTATTTTTGAGTTACTGATATAAGAGAAACCATGTGATATTGAAGCTTGTGTATCTGATTTATTTCCCTTATCATTATGGTCTCAAGATGAATCCACTTTCTTACAAATGCCTCAAGTTTATCCTTCTGCATGGCACAGCAGTACTCCACTGTGTTGTAAATGCCACATTTTCTTTATCCATTCATCTGCTGATGGACATATAGGCTGCTTCCAAGATTTGGCTGTTATGAATTGTGCTGTCCCCTCCTATTCCCAACCCAGGACCCCCAACATGTCTTTCCACTCCCTCACTCCTCACTGCCTTCTTCCTCACCCCTTAGCCACTCGAGCACCAGACCCGCTGCGTGTCCATGGGGACCTGGTCCTGTGGTGTAGACAGATAAGCCCACAGGGAGGCCTCCCAGAGCTGTGAAGCACACATCTGTGCTGAGGACTGGGAAGGCTTCTTGGAGGTGGGGATTAACGTGAACCTTGGGGCAGCACCTCCATCCCCAGGAGGCCAGGAAGAAGAGGGCCCTCCTCGGCAGGGGCCCAGTGCTGGGGAGACCACCGCTGCTAATCACCCCCTCCCACACACTCCAGGTTCATGCTGGTTCCCTCCCTGCACCCGGACTGGACTCTCCTCCTCTTCTTCTTCCACACCCACAGCACAGTCACCGCCACGCTGGCTCTTATCTTCTTCCCTATGGTGAGGTCTTCCTGGGCCCTTGGTAACAGCGCCCCCCTGCAGGTCAGGGCGAGGATGACAGAAGGAGTTGGGGTGAAGGAGCCGGAGTTAAGGACTTTGGGAGCTATCTTGCAACCATCCAGGCCTGGGGGCAGGGAAGTAAGTTCTAGGGCTGCACAGGGGTCCTTTCAGCACTGCTGTAAGCCTGGAGCATTGTGCAGATGTGCTTGGAAGCAGTGACAGAGACAGGTACTCGAGCTAAGGACTGGTGGGCAGGAGGGTGGGTCACCCGTCTCTGAGCTACAGAAGGGTGGGGAGGATGGGGGAAGGAAAGGGGAGAAGCATGGCAAAGTAAAGGTGGGCGGCACAGGGAAAGGGAGAGTAGGTGTGGACAGGGAGCCGTGGTGAACCTTGTCCCCTACACCACCCTGGGCAGTTCCAGAGGCCGGGGGCACCACCTCACGAGGAGATCTTGGATGAGGCATATGAGGATGAGCTAGGCCTACAGCGCTTGGGGTCCTACCTGGACAGCAGCGTGGCCTCAGCCTGGAGCGAGCACAGCCTGGACCCTGGCGACATTCGGGTAGGCACCGCCCTACGCCTCTGGTACCAGCTCCCAAGGTCTGGGCAGAGGGACACCTTTGCCCTCCCACCGGGCTGAATGCCACTGCAGGTCCCCAGCCCCTGGTCTTCCCTCGAGGTGAGATCTCCTCCCTTCCCATCACCACCCTCAAGTGACGGCTCTGACGCTGAACAAGGCCACACACCGGCCAAGAGGAAAGACCCTAAGGCCCAGAACCCAGAGCCAGGAGGTCAGATTAGAGGCACAGCTGCGAGCAAGTCCCACTCCCTGTGTCTTCATGGAGGGGGGCATACTAAGGAACCCCTCAGTCCCAGCCAAGCAGGACGGTTGGTGACCTCAGGCAGCTGTGGGCTGCGGAGTTCAGGCAGTGAGAAGCCACCCAGATTTTTGGTTTTTTTGAGACAGGGTCTCACTATATAGGCCAGGCTGGCCTCGAACTTTCGGTGATCCTCCTGCCTCAGCCTCCCAAATGCTGGGATTACAGGCATGCGCCACCATGCCTGGCTTGGATTCTGATTTTTTCAGAGCAGAGAAGGGACACTGCTTGATGGGAAAGGTCCCCAGGAGAAACAGGTGGGAGAGCCCATCCCCCGCCTCACCTGGGGCTCTGCTCCCCTCCCGTCCCCACCCCAGGATGAGCTGAAGAAGCTGTATGCCCAGCTAGAGGTCCGAAAGACCAAGGAGATGGCTGCTAACAACCCGCACCTGCCCAATAAGTGGGGCAGCTCCCGCCATGGGCTGGGCCGCTCCTTCCTGAGGTACCTGGCCGAGTTCCCCGAGGCCCTGGCCAGACAGCACTCCAGGGACTCTGGCTCCCCAGGCCGCAGCAGCTTGCCCAGCTCATCCTGCCGCCGGCTGCTCAGCTCCAGTCACCAGGACACCCCCGAGGGAGGCCCGGCCCTGTGCCAGTCCCACTGCACCTATGACCAGCACCACCCAGAGCAGGAGCTGCCCCTCCTGGGCTCCGTGCTGCGGAGGAACCTGTCCAGGAAGGCCTTGAGGCTAGAGGGCCAGGAGCCTGCCAAGGGGCCGCCCGCCCTGGGCTTCCGCTCTGCCAGTGCCCACAATCTGATGGGAGGTGAGCAGCTGTCCCGGGCCTGGCCCAGCTCCCTGCAGAAGTCGCTCAGCGACATGGCGGGCAGGAGGGAAAAGGCCCTGCTGGTGGCCAGCCAGACCTACCTGGAGGAGACCTATTGGCAGGCGAAGGAGAGACAGGAGCAAAAGAAGGCAGAGGCAGCCACGGCCAGGCCAGTGTGGAGGCCATCGGCCAGGAGGCTGGAGCGGGCCTGGAGTCCCCCCCTGTCCGCCCCACCATCCCCTGCCAAGAACAGCAGCATGGACAGCTCTCTGGCCTCCAGGAGGCTCCAGGAGGAAGGTGGCAGGAGGCTGCCTCACCCACCCATCCATCACCAGGTGTCCTCGCCCATCCTGGTCCTGTCTGGGGCCTGCCCGGCAGAGCAACGTATGCTGTCTCCCAGCTCCACCTTGGCCCCAGTGCCCACCCCTGCCCTGGCACCAGTCTCAGGGCCCCCCCAAAGCCCCATCTTACTCACCTACATCTGCCCCTGGGAGAATGCAGAGCTGCCAGTCAAGAAAGAAACTGTGGTCCAGGAAGGCGCCCTGGGCAGCCACTCCCCAGCCCTGGCTCGAGGCAAGCTCTGGAGGCCCCTCTCCGAGGCGGTAGGGAAGAGGGTGGCCATGGAGAGTGAGATGGATGCTGAAGCCGGGCGACCGGAGGGGGAAGCAGATGACAGGGCTGAGGACAGGCCCAAGACATTCTCGAAGTCCCACAGCCTCAAGACGCCTGTGCAGCAGGGCTCCATGCGCAGCCTGGGGCTGGCCATCAAAGCGCTGACACGGTCCCGAAGCACGTACAGGGAGAAGGACGGTGGTGGCGAGGTCGGCCCAGACAGGGAGAAGGACAGGGCTGCAGGAGCGGCCATGGCTGTGCTTCCCCGGTCTCCCAGGCTGGGCCGGCCCAAGGTGGTGAGCAAGCAGGCAGCCCTGGTGCCCTGCAACGATGAGGAGTCCCTGCAGAACCAGCAGAATGCCCACACCAGCGGGATGCTCCATGTCTGTCACCAGGATGGGGGGAGGGAGCAAGAGGCTGGAGGCCGGAAGCTCTCCCAGGGCCCAGGGGAGAGCAAAGTGGAGAAAGCAGGGAAAAGGGGGCTTGCCACACTGTGGCAAGTGTTTGGGGACAAAAGTGCCGAGCAAGCCAAGGAAGGCCCAGGAGGGCGGCGAGAACCACCCAGAAGTGGCCTCCTGCTGCTGGGTAGTGCTGACCGAGGGGTGGCAGAGGCGTGTCCCTGGGAAGTGATCAAGTCAGACACGGGTGGGCTGGACAGTAGCAACAAGGCCCAAATCTGCCCCTGGGAGGTGAGCAAGGGAGCCCTGCAGAGGACGGCATCGGGACAGCACCGAGGTGACTCCCAGGAAGACAGGGGGACAGCCACAGGCAAGCCAGAGCCCAGAGGGGCAGCTGTCACAGCTCGGAGAAAGCCAGAGAGGCTGGTGCGGAGCCAAGAGGCCTCGTGTCCCTGGGAGGGTGCCGACCCTGGAGCCGTGGGCAGGTCCTCAGCAGCAGGCAGTGTGGACCGAAGGCAGGCAGAGAAGCCTTGGGCAGAAGCCCCCGGTACAGAAGCTGGGTCCCCTCACCCTGCCAGGGCAGAGCTGTACCCTTGGGAGGTGGGTGAAGCGGACCAGGGGACTCGTGCCCCAGGAGAGAGGGCGGCCCCTCAGGCAGGGCAGAGTGCCTCCAAGAAAGCTGCCTTCTGGAGGGAACAGGAGCAGGGTGCAGACCCGGAGCCTCTGTGTCCCTGGGAGAGCACAGGCTTCCGGGACCCCTCGGGGAGCCTGGGCAGCAGCATTGCCGAGGTGTGTCCGTGGGAGGTGGCAGATGCGCCCGTCCCCAGGAAAGCAGAGGTCTGTCCCTGGAAGGTCAAAGAAGGAACGGAGGACGGGACTCCAGGACAGACGGCTAAAGGAGGAGACTCTCAAAAGGCTAAGGAGAAAATGCCTGGGAAGGCAGGAATCCAAGATGTCACCTCGAGGGAGAAGCCTGAGGTGCAGATCCCAAAGCAGGAAGCAGTCTGCCCCTGGGAGAGTGTGGGCTCTGGCAGCTTACCCCCACTGCCAGGTCCCCAAGAGCCAGAGAGGTCCCGAGTTATTTCCCAGAGGTTGGGGAGTGCAGGAAGTGGGGCAGCCGAGGTCTGCCCGTGGGAGGTGGAGGACACCCCCACAGATGGCAAGGCACAGATCTGTCCCTGGGAGGTGGGCGCTGGAGCAGGCCAGGAAAGGGCTTGGGGACCTGAGGGCATCAGATCTCCAAACGCTACAGGGAAGACGAGGCCAGGGAGGCCAGCCATGGAGGGGGAGTGGGCCCATCCCTGGGAGACCTCGGGTCCAGGGGGCTCCTGGCAGCACAAGGACACTCTGGACACTGAAGGGCCAAGAGCGGGCCTCCAGGACCAGGGCCGCCTGGGCCGCAGGCCAGCTGACATGTGTCCCTGGGAAGCACAGGAAGCACCCACCAGTGACAAGGCCAAGATCTGTTCCTGGGAGGAGAATGAAGGGGCCCCCGGGAAGGGGCTAGGGCAAGAGCTGGGGAACCAGGAAACTCTAGAAAAGGGAAGGTTTCCCTTGCCAGCAGGAGGCGTAGCAGAATGGGAGGCAAAACTCCACCAAGAGCAGGAAGCTGTTTGTCCTTGGGAGGACCAGGACTTGAGGGAATGGTCTGCTCCAGTCCCCAAGGCCTCAGACTTGTCCTGGGAAGTGAGTGCGGAAGGGACACAGAAGGGGGAACTGAAACAAGACCCAAAGACAGGCTCCTTCCCGGAACACGAGACCCAGGGAAAAGCTCCAGCTTCAAAAGCAGAATCTATGACTGAGGCTGGGGGAGGGACTAGCAAAGCGGGACTGTCTGTCTGTCCATGGGACACCATGGCACCAGAGGGCTCTCTGTCCCACCCCAACAGCCAGCATCCTGACCAAATGGAAGCCAGCTCCCAGGCCCTGGGCAGTGGTGGGGGCAGCATTGCCCGAATGTGCCCATGGGATGCTCCTGACCCAGATGTGTGTGAAGCTGAGAGCAGTGCCAAGGCTGAGCTCTGTCCCAGGGAGGCCACAGAGAAAGTCCTTGAGAGAGGGGCATGGAGACAGGATGGAAAGGGAGACTCTCGAGAGGGAACAGGAAGAGCCCAGGAAAGACCAGAGCCCCAGCAGGTTCAGGAAACACCTGAGATGGCAGACTGCAGGAAGCTGGGGGCCACGTGTCCCAGGGACAGTCGAGATGGTGGGGGTGTGGCGCCACAACTGGCCCCGTGCGCTTCTGAGGGACGCAGAGCCAGGGCCAAGGCTGCAGGTCACATGGGGGCAGGGGCAGCAGAAGTGTGTCCGTGGGAAGTGGAAGAGAAGCCCTCCACCCAGGAAGCAGAGGTTAGCCCTCGGGAGCCAGGTCCTGGAGGGGCAGGTGAAGGGACACCGGCACAGGGGGTGGCAGGAGGGTCCCAAGGGCAAGGAGAGGTGCTCTTTCTGAAGGCAGGATCTGCAGGGGCTGAAGGAGACTTTGCAGCAGCGGCAGTGACACTCGGCAGAGAACAGGACATAGTTGGCCCCTGGGATGGCACAGGCTCAGAGGGCCCGGTCCCCCAGGGAGATGCTCTGGGTGCAGACTGCTACAAAGTCAGCCGCTGTGGAGCAGGCAGCGGGGGTACCAGGACAGCAGAGCTCTGTCAGTGGGAGGTCACAGATCCGGAAGGAAATAAAATAAGGGGCACTATGGCAGACGTCTGTCCCTGGGAAGACACTAGCGCCCCACTGGAGGAACCTGGCTTCCGGGCTTTAACAGTGGCTCAGACAGAGAACGTCCCCAAGGCCGCTGAGAAGTCACTATGCTTCTCAGTCAGCTTCATTCCAGAAAGCAAGAGCTCCCACCCCAAGGGGGTCAAGGGGGCCAAGGCGGCCCGTTCTGCTGGTTCCCAGGAAGGTGGCAGAGCACTGGGAGGACCTTCGGGGCTTGGGCCAAGGACCAGGGTCTCCCTGGAGCTCAGTGTCCAAGGAGCAGAGGCTCCGAAATCTTCCTCCTTAGCTGAGGACCACGGACAAGTGGCTTCGGAAGCTCAGGATGAATATCTCAGTCCTCCGCCTGCTTACCCTTGGGACTTCGAGTGACAGCTCCACTCATCAGGGGAGGCCAGAGCCAGCCTGCAGGGGCTGAGGTCCTTCCCAAGTCCTAGTGCTCAGATACTCATCCAGTTCTCCTCCCCAGGAAGCCAGGTGTCAACTCCACTGAAAGACAAACTAATAGGAAGGGCGCAGCTCAACCCCCAAGAGAAGTCCTACCCTCTCTTTACCATCTCTAACTTTTCGAGCAAAGGCCAGACCCTCCGATTCCAAGGACACTCCCTCCTACCTGTCCAGAGCGCAGGGAGCCCCCAATCTTCTCTGAGGTCTACGAAAGGAGTGCTTGTGGAAAAGCAGCTGGACCTCGCGAGCCAGGGGAACAGGGACTGTGGGTTACAGCAGGCAACAACATCTCCACCCAAAGCTCAGCAAGAAGCCACTCACTCCATGTGGAAAGATAAACTGAGGAAACAAAGGATTCAGAGCCAGTGCTCGAGAAGCCATCAGGAAGGACACTCTCCTGGCTCCGAAGCTCCTGTTTCTGCTGTTGCCCCTCACACCTGCCCTGCTTGACTGCAGCTGACAGGCGGGCTCTGGGACCTTAGGCCAGCATCCAAACAACACCGGGAACTGAGCAGGGCAGCTTCACCAGGTCCTCCACAGATGGGAAGGGGCTGTCCCTCCAGGGATGCTTGCCTGCCTCCTGCTGGCTCCTTCAGTGACCTCCTCACTTCCTCCGAGCCTCCAGTGCTGTCAGCCAACTTGACAGTGACAACCAGCCACATCCACATCCGTCTCCTCCTCAGAGGAGCCCAAGGAAGCAGGCCCGGTTCACAGCCAGCGCACCCACTACCTCTGCCCTCAAACAGCAGAGCTTCCGGGCAGTGAGGAGCCACAGGGCAGAGGCCAGGACAGGCGCTATGTAAATACAAAGCGCTCTTTCTTAGGCAGCTCAGCTCTGTAGCATAGGCAGTGTTAGGTAACTGGGACTAGATGATCATCCAGAGGGAAGCAGGGAGGAGAAAAACATCCAAGGAAGTCCTGGAATTGGCAGAGGAGAGGTGGGGTTGGGGACAAGAGGGGGGGGGTAACGTGGCAGAGACGGCGGGACGCCGGCCACATCCAGCAGCACGGGAGTGGATGTCCTTCCCAGGAGAGCAAAGAGCAGAGACCAAATATCCAGGAGGATCCATGAATCTGCCTGTGCTCTGCTGGCGAAAGGGTGCTCTGTTTCCAAAAGGGCCAGAGGCAGGAGGCAGTGCCTCTTCCTCCTTAGGGGCAACTGCTCTGCCCTGGGCTTCACAGCAGTGGCTCAAGCAGGTTGTGCCTCTGGCCTCTGCCCACGTAACCCCACCACTGCTGAGCCAGTGTGGGCCGGACAGCTGTGCTGCCCAGAACAATCCTACTGGGTCTGGTCTGCCTGGGGAGAGCAAAGTCACCCCCACATTTATTTATTTATTTATTTATTTATTTGGTATCAGGGATCGAACTGGGGTCTTTGCGCTTGTGCAGCAGGTGGCGAAACCACTGAGCTAAATCCTCGGCCCACCCCCACATTTATTCTTGTGAAATAAACTATAGGGAAAAAGAATAAAGAATGCTTTTTCTGGACTGTGGCAGTTGGGTCTGGTTTATTCATAATGGTTTTTCTTTTCTTTTTTTTTTTTTTTTGTACCAGGGATTGAACTCGGGTCCTTGCGCTTGTGCAGCAGGCAGCAAGACCACTGAGCTAAATCCCCGGCCTTCTTTTGTTTTTTTGAGATGGGTCAGTCCAGGCTGAACTTGAACTTATTATATAGCTCAGACTGGCCTCAAACTCACAGCAATTTTCCTGCCTCAGCCTCCCAACTGCTGGGATTACAGGTGTGCACCACCATGCCTGCTCTTTTTCAACACAGGAGCAGAGTAAGGACAGTTCCTATTCTAAAGCACAGGATAGTGACACTGTGGCCTGCAGGACTCCGGGGTTGACTGTCTCTGCCAGTGCCCAGGATGACAGCTGACAGTGCAGATGGGCTCTGGCTGGCCTCCCCACCAGCCCTTCACATCTGGGCCCATTTGCTCAGCTGGATTTGTTCCCAAAGGGAAATGAAAAGTGCACTTATCCTCTGGCTCCCAGATGGCAGCTCTTGCTCAGCTGCTATTTAGGATTATCTAGAGACTCCGAACAGACAGGGATATGGGATGAGGCAGTGCGTCTGAGGCAGTTTTTACATATTTGAGAGAAATCAAAATGACCTTTGCCTGCTAAGTGCACCTTTTGGTTTCTCTGCTCCCCTCCCCTCCGCACTCCGGCTGTGGCCCCTGCTCTGAGCCTTTCTCCTGCCTTAATCCAGGCTCAGGCAAATAGGATGTGCTCACACCCCTAGCACTCACGCTGCACAGGGATGTGGACTTTAAGCCCAAAGGCCTGAGACTAAGCAGCATCAGAGCGGCTGCTTGGGCTTAGCCCATCAGCGCTCCCTTCCCTAAGCACACACTTTGTCCCCATCATCGGCCTGGACAGCTGCGAGGAAAACACCAGTTTTCTCCTCTGTCTGCTGCTTTGGTGAAATGGTGGCTTCAGAGAGATTAGAGTTAGGTTATTTTTGACCTGGTTCCAGCTTCTTGGGACCCTATTCTTAACTCAAGGTCAGAAGAGATGGTGAAGGTGAGGTGACAGACTCGGGTTGGGGATGTAGCTCAGGGGTGCTTGCCCAGCATGCTATGTGTAAGGCCCTGGGTTCTCAGCATGCACACCCCCACGGCTCCCCAAAAGAAAAAGTGGCAAGTTCCTTAAAAGGAAATACTAGGCTTGAAAAAAAGTAAATATGAAAATAAAAACCAGTCCCGCACCCTGGCTGGGCTGAGTGCAGGTTCCTGAGCGCGGCCAATTCGGCCTGAGACCCTCGGCGGTTCAGGGTCCGGGGTGCCCGCGGCTGCAGAGCCCAGGTGGGCGCTGAGCCGGGAGCCGAGGGATGGAGGGTGATGCCGCCAGGCTGGCCGGCTTCCTACGCCGGGAAGGTGACTCCGCACAGCATCTGGAAGCCTCTTCCCGGCCTGCCATCATCACAGGTTGAATGAATTATTCCAACTATTTATTAGCTATTTAATAGAGGTAGAGGAACAAATACACTATTGCTGGCAAAGTTTTCACCACAACTTTCGCATCTATGAACAGTCCAAAAGTTACCAAAAGAACTACTCTCCAGGATGAGCTAATAAGAGTAATTACAGCACATTCAGCCAGAGTTCAGTATACTCAGATGACTTTGAGAGTGATGTTGTTTCTTTTGGTGATTTTTCTGATGCCTCAGTAGATGAAAATTTAGTTAAGAAAAAAATGAATGGTTTTCATATATCAGAGGATGAAGAAGAGAATTCTCCACGACTGTCTTTTTTGAAAAGAAAGAAGTCAAATGGTGACATAACCGGAGATGAGCCAGAAGTTGCTGTCAGGAACAGTGCAGAACGGGTGCCAGGTGTCTGTGAAGACACGGTCGCAAATTCCTTCTCTCAATCTCACAACATAGATCAAGAAGTTGAAAAGGAGAGAATTAAAATAAAACCAAAACCCAGAATTCTTCCAATCAAATGCACCTCTTCAGCAGAAAATAGCGGGCTTGAAACAGATGAACACTTTAAACCCTCACCTCGGCCAAGGAGCATGTTAAAAAAAGAGTAGCCACGTGGAAGAGAAGGAAAAACTAGAAGACAGAGAAACTGCCCTCGGTGAGGGCCTAGAGTCTGCACCCTCCTCCCTTCCTGGGCTGAGCGTCAGACCGTTAGAGGGTGAGAAAGATGGATTCTCTGTAAGCCTTGATCTTGAGGATCCATTGTTTTTTGGTTTTGTTTTTTTTTTTGGTACTGGGGATCGAACTCGGGACCTTGCGCTTGCGAGGCAGGCGGTGGAACCACTGAGCTAAATCCCTGACCCTTGAGGATCCACTGTTTAAAAGCCTGTCGTCATCCCTTAAAGAAAGCCTTGGACAATGCTTTCCACCAGGATCTGAGGAAAAAGCATCCATAAAAGATCGGAATGGAGAATTCACTGAAAACTGTAATTCCTTGAAATTAAATGAAAATGCAAAGAAAGTGGGGTTTTTTTGGTACCGGGGATTGAACTTGGGTCCTTGCACTTGCACAGCAGGCGGCGAAACCACTGAGCTAAATCCCTGGCCCAAAAAAGTGGTTTTGATTAGACTGTTAATCCTGAACTGCAGAAACCGACAGAAAGCGAGCTGGCTGCTGCTGACCTTGAAGAGAGGAGGAAAGGGGGACTGAGCCCAGAGGACGACTTAGTGGCTGCTCCCCTGCTAAATCCCAGAGGGCCTCAGTGCCTGCCACTGCAGTGGCAGCTGCACAGAAAACAATCAAAGATAGAAACATGAAGAGTAAAAAGTCAACAACTAATGATAGAGTATCCAGTGCACCTGCCAGATTAATGACTTGAGTTTGTGAGGAAATCCAGTTCTGCAGGGCGAGCTCTGTGCTCCTCCATCTCTTCCTAATACTTAGGGACTTTGAAAGTCTTGGACCAGAAGCCTTTACAAAAACAGAACCTGGAGCCCAACACAGCAGATCACATCAGGGCAGCTGTTTACCAGGAGTGCTTAGAAAAGAAAAATGTACATTTACATAAAAAGGACAGAATAAAAAGGATAGAAAGTGAAAACTTAAGAATTCAAAATGAACAGAAAAAAGCTGCTAAGAGAGAAGAAGCAATAGCATCATTTGAGGCCTGGAAAGCTAAGAAAGAAAAGGAAGCAAAGAAACTCGCTGCGAAAAAGAGGCTTGAGGAAGAAAAGAGAAAAGCTGAAGAAGAAGAGAATGCAGCGAGGAAAGAAGAGGCCCTGCAAGCATTTGGAAAATGGAGAGAGACAACGATGGAATGTCTTAAAGAGAAAAATAAAAAGGAGAAAGAATATGAAAGAGCAAAGAAACAAAGAGGAAACTGTTGCTGAGAAAAAGAAAGAAAACTTAACTGCTATCAAAAAATGGAATAAAAAAAGGAAGCTTTAAGCAAGAGGGAAAAGAAAATAAATGAGAGAATGGAAGAACTGAAAAGAGCTGAGAAAAATGATAAACAAGCCATCAATCAATATGATAGATGGCTGGAAAAGAAAGGCAGGAAAGAGTCCAATGAAAAGAAACGGCATTCCTTTCTTGAAAATGAGGACCTTCCTCCATGCAGCCCTCAAGCAGAACTGTGGTTTCAAGTGTTTTGACGATACAAAAAAAAAAAAAAGTGTTTTGATGGGGCCGGCGAGGTTTTGCCGCCTCCTACGCAAGCACAAGGACCTGAGTTCGATCCCCAGAACCAAAAAAAAAAAAA